TCTATCCAACGTTATGACTGGACCAGGCTACAAAAACTGTAAATAAATAAAATAATCATTAATACATCTATAGATGCTGGTACCCCAATGGAAGTATATCTGTTTATGTAGACAATTGGGAACAGCCTAATGCTTGTAGCATGGGAACTATCTTTAATCTTAATCAAATATCAAGAAGCAATTATTTCAGTCTATAACTGTATGCAGTAGAGACCTAAAAAAAAAGAAAAAAGTATACGTGCCATGCTATTACAGATTTGGGACAACAGTGGTGAAGAAAATCCTTACATTTGGATTTGTGAAGTTTGGAAACCTGGAACAACATTGGTGAAGAAAGGTGTTAACCTAGATATGAGAAAGCCTTTGGGGAAAAACTGGGGAAGGAAATCCTTACATTTCCCCTATTTTTTCCATTTTTTTCTAAGCCTATTTCAATCCACACAATAGATTCCAGATTTTGTCATTGTTCCAATGGAGGAAGAAGAGGTATATTGCACTTGGAAGTCATCCAAACGGTTTTCTGTTTCCTCTAAGTTTACTTTCTATTGATATTTATTGTTCCCTGCTCAAATTGGTTCATGGCACTTTTCACTAGAGGTAGTCCTTGACTTACAACCATTCATTTAGCGACCGTTCAAAGTTACAGTGACACTGAAAAAGTGACCTACAACCAGTCATCACATTTAAAACTGTTACAGTAACCCCACATGACCAAAACCCAGGTGCCTGGCAATTGGCATGTTTCTCTGGCAGGTGCCGCTTCCTGGAATCATGTGATCATCATTTGCAACCTTCCCAGCTGACTTCTGACAAACAAAGTCTTTGGGGTAACTGAATTCTCCTAACAATCTCATGATTCACTTAACAACTGCAGTGATTCGTTTAACAATCACAGCAAAAATTGTAGAATTGGGTGAAACTCATAGAACAACAACTGCCTTGCTTAATAACAGAAATTCTAGTCTCAATTGTGATTGTAAGTTGGGAAGGACCTGTTCCTCCTTTTGTCTATTTATCAGATCAGTATTTTCTTCCATTTTTGAAAAGTTTCCCATATTGCCTATAGCCCTTTATTTTCTCTTAGTTTCTTTCTTTCAAAAATTTCAAACTATGTTTTTCTCTATAAATAAAATAAAGGTATTTTATTACTCAAACTAAGAAATAAGTAAGAAATTGTCTCAGTGTTTGATCGAATAAAAACAGATACAATGAATAAGTTAAAAATAAAATAAAATGGGATTCTTTTTTGAAAGTAAAAATATCATATTTTAAATAATACACAATTCAAACAATTCCCTGAAAAATTTTCCTATCTCCACAACCACATCTTTCACTCTTGTGTATTTGTAATTGTTAACATGTCATGCCTTTAACTGAATAAACTTACGCTGTAATACTGTTTTCTCCAACCATACACTAGACATAGTATTTTCCTGCTGTGGTGGTTACAGGTTGTCCTTACTAACCACCTACAGTTGGGATTGTCAGTCTGGTTGCTAAGTAGAAAATTACAAGACTGTGATTGGACTTATAATTTTACTATCCCTTTGGTCATTAAGTGAAACAGTTGCTAAGTGAATCAGTAAGCTACTGAGCTTACAGTTTTGCTGCATTGTATTAACTCTGCTTGTCACAAGGAAAAATGTGTGCTGGTTGTGAAACACATGAATAGCAATCATGATTGCAGTGCTCATAAATGCACACCTGTTACAAAGCACATGATGGCTACTGTGTTATTGGTGGATGTGCCGTGATTGCAAATGCAACAATCAGTTGCAGAGTTATTTTTTTTAGTACTATTGTAACTGAACAGTCACTGCATGAGGCAGTCAGTAAGTGAGGACTACCTATTAACTATGTGGTTTAATGACAATACAGTACAGATAGAAGGTTGGGTAAATTTGCCATAATTTTGTACAGTTTAAAATTTAACAGTTAGTTTTGGTACAGCAACGGGAAAAATGAAGATAAGTACTCATACTATGGTTTTGTTGCTGAAATATGGTTTTATGCTAGTTTGTATGGTTAAGCTAGAGATGCTGTTACATTAAAGTTTTGAAATAAAAATTACTACTACAAGCAGTTGGAAGTTTAGCATACGTAGATGCTATATGAAACTGAATATCTTTATATGCCTTGAAATTGTAAGTCATATAACCAGTCTCAGATTTAAGACTCATTTTGTCATAAGCCAGACCATATTTTGTTTTTTCATACTCCTAGTATGGCTAAAATATATTTTCTGATCAGATTAGAATGGAATAATTTATGTTTATGAATTACTCAGATCCATTTATGTTGTCACTTTGATCTTTTATGATTACCATCTTGTGTGTATTGTGTTGGAGAACTTTCATTTTTCCTGTCAAGATAACCTTGTGCCTTGGAAAACACACACACCATATTCAAATTTCCTTCCCTACTTTAACTAGGATATTTTGTTTTCTAAATGAATGCTATTGGACTTTAGATACCATATTTATTTTCTCCCGTACTTTTGCTGTAGCAGACTTAATTTTAATTTCTGAAACAAGCATATATATATATTCTGTTTACTTTTGAATAAATTGATTCCTCTTACTGTAGAATTCTGTATATTTTAACTCAAAATATATTAGAAGTCTCCGAAATCCATTATCCTGGTTAAGTCATTAAAAAAATAATGAAATGAGGCCTGTACAGTATATTTTGACTGGGTTTGTGTTCACTTTCAAATGACCCTGGCTTCCCTTCCACTTCTGAAATTTGGCTTGGAGTAGTTTCATCTGGTTTGTGTCTGTCTTAAGCATAGTAAGAAATAAATGTTTTTTGGTGTTTATAATCATCCCTGGATGTCACAGCATGATACATTGAGCAATTCAAGGTAGATTGTGCAAGCTACCTCAGAGTAAGACAATTTGCATTTTTCCAATTACCCTAGGCACAGTGGTGGCTAACCTTTTCGGCACCAAGTGCCGAAACGGAGCTGGCGCATGTGTCGGAAACCAGAAGAGCAGCTCCCTGACATGCGGGAGTACCAGAAACCAGAAGCTTAGTTTCCCGGTGTGCGCATGTGCACAGGCTACCTGGTCTTCCAGTTTCTAATGCGCATGCTGCGTGAAAAGCAGGACTACCTGTATAAACAGAACTATGGTTCACGGAGTTCTGCTGTGATGACCCAGGGTGAGATACAAAACAAACATAGTCACAGAAAACAGGTGAAGCCCCTTTTATTCCTTCAGTTTGCTTCCAAGCTGCAAATATCTGAAGACAAAACAACTCCCACATAGTTACAAGAAGGAGGAAAAAAGCAACACAAACCAGGCAAGATAAGGGCTGGAGGATGTCCACAGATAACACATACGGAGAAGGATGCCAAACTCAGAGAGGAACTATAAACTAGAGATATTTACACGATTTGTTTCCAGCATTTGCCAGTATGCAGGTCCAAACTCTTATTCAGTTGTCACATCTGCAGCCCATGAAGAGGATCAAGGCCCTCTCCTCCTGAGGAGACCACGTCTCTCCCTTATCCTCTCCTCCCTGGTGCACTAGGATGGATAGGGGATGGGCCTGGGTCCTCCTCTGACTGCTCAGCTGGCCTCTGCCCTTCCCCAGCCTCCTCCATCACCTCTGGAGCCACACTTCCACTCCCTGTCAGCTGTTCCTCCTCTCCCTCAGAGTCAGTCTCCACCAGGAGCATGACATCTGCAGTCTAATAATCTAGAATTGGGAAGTACTATATTATAACATGAAATGATTATTTCTGAATGTAAGTGATACACTTTGCAAATACGTAAATTGCTTTCTTTATAAGGAAAAAAATGTGTATGTTCTTAAAAAAAAAAAAGAGGAAACACAGCTTCATTAGATTGAATGTTCCCAGAGAATTAAATGATATAACTGAAGGCAGTGTGATGTGTAATAAAAAAATAAGGTAATTAACTGATTTTGATTTAAATTTTGCATATTTACTTCTCAATAATATGCAGATCTAATACATACATATTATACATGACTTGTCTTTTGATACATTGAGTACCAAAAAACAAATATTTTTCTATTGTACTGCCGGTGTTACAATTGTTCACCAAAATCTGAGTTCATTAAACAATGTATCCTGAGCCCATCATCTGTTTGATTAAAATTTTCATTGTTTGATTGATCAGGTAGCACTTATTTCATGAATTAAAATTTGCATTTAATAGAATACATTATGATTTGTGTAAAAGAAGAAAAAAGTATGTGACCCAAAAGCAGTATCAGAGTTTTTATGCTCTAAGTGTGATTCAGTCTTATTTGTTTAGCAAACCTTCACACAATGTTGCATATGTAATTTGATCACTCAGCAAACTAGAGTGATCAAATTAGAAGCAGATGGGTCTCTCTTCACTTGAACAAAACAAAGAGTCACTAGACAGGGAGGTGGGTGGCATATACATTTAATAAATAATTCCCTATATTTTCTGATATTAAATATGTGTTGCATCTGTGTAAAACACACATGACATGCAGGGTGACCTTTCAATATAAGATCATTAGTAAAACCAATTGAGAACTAAGCCATTATTTAATGCTGAGCTTGCTGGTATGACGTTGCTGTTTGAACTGTTTGCTGTTAGTTATAGACCAGTTTTTCTTCCTTTATTTTAGATCAGCTTGAACGTGTATTCTTGCGTCTTGGCCATGCAGAAACAGATGAGCAATTGCAGAATATTATATCCAAATTCCTTCCCCCTGTTCTTTTAAAACTTTCCAGTACACAGGAAGGAGTACGTAAAAAGGTATGAATATTATCTGTATGCCAAAGTCTGTCAAACACAAAGTGCTTTAAAATCCTCCCGTGTTGGTTTTATATATAGATAGAGAGTCCTTTGAGACTAATTTAACTCATGGTCACTTGATGAAAACATGTCCTTTTCAGTACAAAACTATTGCTTTCATCCAGGGTGCATTTTCAGCTGCCCGTACCAGTCTAGAGTTTGTGTGATGATTTTCTATACAAGTACTCACCAGATCTGACCTTGTTTGGATAACCTGTGTTCCCATCAAGCTGGAAGCTGTATATCATAATAATATATTCCTTGAAGTCATTGAAAATATTGTTACCTTGTAATTCTTTTTCACATTCAGATCCAAATAATATATTCAGTTGGTCTTTTTTCTGTGAAAGGTCAAATGGAAAGACAAATAGGGGCATTTGATAATATAGATAACTTTTATTTATTATATTTCACAATTGGGAAATAAAACCTAGATCAATAAAATGTAGGAATGGTTTTTCTTTTCTTTTTAGGTTATGGAATTGTTAGTTCATCTGAACAAACGAATCAAAAGTCGTCCAAAAATCCAACTTCCAGTGGAGACTTTGTTAGTCCAATATCAAGATCCTTCTGCTGTCTCCTTTGTTACAGTAAGTCCTTTCTTCTTAAAGAATTTTACTCATGAATTCTAAGATTAATTCTAAGATTGTTTTTGCACATTGTGCTTAAGTATGACAGCTGGTTATCTCCTGCCTAGGTATTCTTTGTCCTGCTTTAAAATAATAAACCTACTGTATAAACAGCAGATAAAGAGAGGGATGATTTTCTGGCTTGTAGCTGCTGGAAAGTGCTTTCCTAAATGTAACCCTTGAACACTGCAACTGTGTTTTAATGAATGTTTACATGTAACTACACCCATTTGTCATATTTAAACAGTGCATTGAAATGGATAGAAACAAAATATTTTGAGTGTTTTATTTTCATATACATTTAATGTTCTTGCCAATAACTAAATCTCAATTTAAATGAGCATCTCATTAGGAAATGTTCTGTTTAACAAGTTAATGTTAATGCTCTGTCCTTGCAGTTTAAGTTTACACATAACATATTACAAAAAAGACATTGTGGCTTTACTGAGAATTGGTAGAGTTAAACAGTAATGTTAGGGTTATGGATTGTCACCACACTAATTTGGTTCATGTACGCTAAATTATAATTAGTATAATTTTGGTGTAATGTATGTGAACTGCACCATTACCCCACTTGGTTCAAACATCACTCTAAGCCATGGATTATACAATTATAACATGAAATAAATCACACTTGGTGGAGTCTATGCAACACATTAAGCCATGATTTAAAACTGCAGTGGCTGGTCCACTCAACAGATGTGTGCATTTAGCCACTGATAGTTTCTGTATCTTTTCCAACTTACCTGATATATTTAGCGTATGGCAAATACATGGACTTATACTGATTTAAATGTTAATGTCTAGTGCACTCAGCCATTCAAGAACAGGGTGGTCTTTGTTGAAAAAAATCAGACATTGGGCTGGTGTAAGGTCTTATGGACATTCAGACACAATGTGATGGATATTTTGTTGAGGAGCACCACATTCACACTGAGGGGTAGAGACAAGACCCCCCCCCCTTAAACAATAAGTCCTGGCAGACACTATGTTGGGTACGGATCCTGTTCAGTGTTGACCAATACTGGCAAGGAAAGTCAAAACCTGGCACCTTTTGTGTAGGGTCATCTATGTAACTGCCTGTATTGGGTGTTCAGCAGCCCATTTGGCTTTCCACTGTGTGTTGATGTCAAAGTTGTTAGACAGCTGTTGAGCAAGTGCCAGAGAGGGCTTCCTGGATTTAAGCCTGCCAATTGATAGATAAGGAAGATCAGCGTGCACAGGAAGAAGTGGGTTTCTCAAAGTTTTGTTGTACTTCTTAACTAAGGCTTCCTGAGTGGATTGAACTGGGATTTCTGCCCAAAAGTCTTTACTACTGAATATCAGCTTTTCTCAAATTGCATAGAAAATATATCAATATTATACAGATAGGTATGTAAATAGTGTAATTTTTAATGGAAGTTTAGGTGAAGATAATCCTTCAGTACATGTCTTTAGATTTATACCCGATCCATTCCAGTGACAAAGACCTTATTTCTTTTCTTTTTTAAAAATTGTCTAGGTAACGTTTTAATATATTAGTGCAGTATGGAGTTACAGATACTTAGACATGAACTGAAATACACATTTTGGCCAGTTAATAACAGCTGCTTCTAGAATTTTTTCAGGTAATTGCTAAGAAGAAGTGTCCTTGATATAATGGATCCACATCTTTAAGGTCATCATTGATTGGAGTCAGAAACTGGAAGATAATGCAATCACTAGAATGCAGGCGTAAGAGGCTCCTAGTATGAGGAAGACTTTTTGATTATGAAATTGGTACATCCATTCCCCATGTCAACTGTAAAAAAATCAGATGGAATCTGGTAGCACATTTTCTGAGTTACACATTTAATTCAAAGGAATAAGTTTTGGTGAACTGCCGTTTATGCTTTTTAATAAAATACGTTAGTTGGAAAAGGTGCTATCAGACCCCATGTGCTCTTTTTTCCTACTGTAGACAATTCCTACCATGTCAGGAGTACTTCTCTAAAGTTACCGAAGTAAATGAGGTTGTGAAATTTTTAGCTGAGCTGGAATACTTGAACAGTGTAAACGTTTCAGTGGTATTTATCAATGATTTTTAGTCATAAGTTTCTTAAAATTTGTGGATATTGTACTGTAGGGCTGTTTTAGTGGTTCTTTTCAGACATATTTTTGCATTTTACAGAATTTTACAATAATATATGTTAAGATGGGTTACCCTCGTTTGCCTGTGGAAAAGCAGTGTGAGCTGGCACCCACTCTCCTTACTGCAATGGAAGGAAAACCTCAACCCCAGCAAGACAGGTATAATATTCTGAGCATAAAGCTTTCATTGCCTTTTTTTTTAAAAAAAAAATCATTCCTTTTAATAAATTGTCCATTAAAGACTGCAAATACACATTCAGAGAAATGATAGCATAGTTCCTATCTGTTACTTTGTATCAGCATGGCAAGGCAGATTCCACAGGGAGACTAGACTTATCTTATTAAGATAAGCTATAATAATAAAAACTTGCATGTCTGATTGACCTAAACCTCCACTCCTTTTTAAATTCAACAAATGAGGGATTTGTCTGAATATTATCTTGTTTCCTGGGACCTAAAGATGCCAAGTTTCAGCCATCTTTTCTAGGCAACGGTTATATTTTAAATATCTTGCTTTTTTGCCACCCAACATTTTGACATACAGATAAATCTTAATTCTTGGATCCAGCCTACTTAATGTTTAAAGTTTCAATTTAATTCATTTCAGAGCAATTTGAATAAGTTCCATTTAATTCATTTCAAAGCAATTTGAATAAGTTCCATTTGGAATTAGCTATTAAATATGAAAGAAAGGACAGTGGTTTCATGAAAACCATGAAGTTATGCGGTCTTCTTTGTCTGCAATTCCCAGTTAAAGTTTTTTAAAATGCAAATAGCAATAAATGAAAATGTTTATGGATGTTTAGCAGATTCTTACATATAATTGCAATGTACATAATTGTTTTGCAGCCTAATGCACCTTCTAATACCAACACTTTTTCACATGAAATATCCTGTTGAACATCTGAAAGCAGCTTCTCCATTTAATCTTGCTGAAAAACCAAAGACTGTACAACTGCTGTTGGATTTTATGTTGGATGTTCTCCTCATGCCTTATGGGTAAGTAATGATGAAGTTTATCAGGTGATAAGTACTTCTAAGATTAGTAAGGGAGAGGGAAGGCTCTCATTTTTAAAGTGATAGTCTGCCATTGATGACATTCTCTAGAGGGTATTTTTGTTTTTATTGGTTTTTTTTTAATGAAAATCATATTTTTGTCTCAGATCAGATGGTTGACAAACCATCTTAAGCCATTTATAGATAGCCCTTGGCTAATAATTAAACCTGGAATTATGATCATAAGCCATTAAACGGCAGTTAACCAAATGTCGTGGTCATTAAGTGAACGCCACAATTCTTAAATAAGTCCATTATACCCAATGGGTGTTTTTTGCTAGAAATACATGTCAGAAACCACATAACCAAGGCAGAATGTCAGCAAATGGTCCAGAGCCTTGTAAAAGTCCTCAAATCTTAGGAGCCACTATGCATAAAGACATACAAATTTAACTGACAGAAATTAATAGTGATCAAGTTAACAGCCTAATTAAAATCTATTCTGTCTAGATTCTTTTTCAAATCTGTCTCTGGAAATAGATTCTATTGTACTGGTGTCTTGATTAACTATTTATATAATTTTTAAAATGTTATGTTATGTTCCACCTTTATTATTTTTTCAAATAAGGTGGCAAACATATCCAACACTCCTTCTTCCTCCTATTTTCCCCACAACAGCAACCCTGTGAGATGAGTTGGCCTGCAAGAGAGTGACTGGCCCAAGGTCATCCAGCTGGATTTCATGGCTAAGGCAGGACTAGAACTTATAGTCAGTCACCAGCTTTCTAGACCAAAGTGGCTCTCTTTATTTTTTTTAATTTTAGAAATGAATAATGTCAAGGCCTCAGAGCGTATATGGTTCCTGACAGCTTTGAATAAGGCCTCCAGAATACCTCCAAAATTGATAAAATAGTATTTTTTTAATGTGACAAAAAATAATGATCTCTTATTTTTATATCCTGCTTTTTCAAGTTCAAATTTTTGTTTCCATAACTCAGACTGGTTTTCAGACTGACATAATTTAAGCTCTGCAAAGCTCATAGACTGATGCATTCACTCACCATTTCTAATAGAGGATTTTATAAACTTTCCTCCCCTCCTCTTCTAGATATGTATTAAATGAATCCCAGAGTCGCCAGAGTGTGCCAGTGGGCCAGGGTTCCTCTTCATCAAGTAGTTCTGGAGGATCTGGGATCCCTCAGCCTCCTCCGGGAATGAGCTTTTATGCAGCCAAGCGGGTAATTGGAGACAGTCCATGGACACCTGAGCAGCTGGAACAGGTAAAAGCCAAATAATGGGTAAGGGGTGGAAGTAGCTTAATTATAATAAGTTGCCAAACATAATGCATATTAACTTACCTTGTGAACTTTTATTTGTCTCCAGATGTTCTCATGTGTAGTCTAATTTGATTAAATTATATTCCATCTTTCTCAGATTGTTAACGGAAATAAAATGCAGAATATAAAACAAACACTTTTAAAAAAGCAGTAAAATTAAATAGCATCAGCATATGATGTTTCTCCATTCCAAAACTCTGAATAATGTAATCTATATGATAAACAGCATATTTTTATGGGGATGAGATGTATTTTGGAGAATATTGTTTTAAACATTCTAAACCACTTCGGTGGGAAGGTAATAGCATTCCATGTGGACAGAGGAAATCTTTCCCTTTCCCTTTAAATGACTAAAAACTTCTGACCCACCACAAGTGGTTGGACCAGAATTCCCATAATGGCTCACAATTGCTTAGACTTATTGGTGTTGTTGGGAATTCTCCTTCTGTAATGTATTTAGCCTCGTAATTTCCTCATCTCTGCTTTAAGACAAAGCCTTTTGTTATCTTTCTATCTGTCTCTATCCAGTTCCATCACTCTGTAATTATAATAAAAGTATACTTTTTGTAGACGAAGTATGAGATTGTACTGAACTATTTTTATTTTTTTCTGCTTTGTTGGGCAGTGTAAATTGGGCATTGTAAAGTTCATTGAAGCTGAGCAGGTGCCTGAGCTTGAAGCTGTCATACATTTGGTTATTGCCTCTAGTGATACACGCCACAGTGTAGCCACTGCAGCAGATCTTGAACTCAAAAGCAAGCAAAGGTAATGGGTTACAATATAGATGTTTAAAAACAAAAGTGATGGCTTATTATGAATTTTAAAAATAAGGCTGGTTTCATTTAATGCAAAATTAATTTGTTTATCACAATGGCACATTTTTGAAATTGCAGTTGATAGGACGTAGACATCTCTACATTTGACCACAATGATAGTAGCACTTCATTTATTCTAGATATATTGGCATCCATATATTAGTATGAATGGTAATAGTGTATCTCCTGAGGTTTGATAGATACCTGCTTTTCAGCAGGTAATTATTATCATTAGGGTAGTTTTCAGTGCTGTATTTGCTAATAAAGAGCCTGCCAAAGCTTTTATGATCAGGGATTCGAAGCCTATTTAGCTTATTACACAATCCCAATGATTGAAAAATCTGATTGGATAAGATTCCTTGTTTTGGGGAGAATTTTAAGGATGTTAAGCTATCTGCAGAATGAGGTTCCTGTTCAGATTTCATTCATTATAGGAAGCTCCAAAATGAAACTGAGTCCATGGCTTCATTGCTCCTAAATACAGTAAGTTCAGCTTATAACACCTCAATAAGGGTAGACAAATTTTATGCACATGGTCACTTAGCTTCTAGTAGTTTGGGGAGTCTTTAAAAGACCAGTGTTTACAGGAACATTAATCAATCTTTAACAGTTTCTCAGTTTATGTGAATCAAAGCTAAGTAGTGTAGTGATTTTACTTAATCATATTGTAGGGTTTCAGAATTGGGTATGTCATAATTTTAAAGGTGGTTTTCTAAACAGGTAGTGTATTAATTTATTTACAGTATATCTAAATGTCCTCATAGTTAATATTTTATGAAATTATTGAAGATATATGCTAGGAAAGACCTAGATTACCAGTTCCCACAAGTTCCTGGTAACTATTGGTGACTTGTAAGAGTATAGAAGTGTTCCCTACTATGGCTATTAAAATAAAAATGGATTGTAAAGATGGGAACAAAACCATTGTAATGTACAGATATTTTTTAAAAAGTTAATTCCGAGATCCAAGCACATATTATTTTCAAGAGAGGCAAATGAACAGCACTTATTGCTAATTCCAGTACAGGTAGTCCTCGCTTAGTGTCCATTCATTTAGCAACTGAAGTTATGTCAGTGCTGAATGAAGGAGTTTGTGACTGGTCCTTGAAGTTCTTTCCATTGCAATATCCCTACAGTCACATGAACAACATTTGGTCCCCACCTGCATTTACGACCACTTTTTTGGCAAGTCTGCCTGTCACCTGCTGCCAGTGGCTCCTGCTGCCTAGTCCTGCCCACCCACCACCCACCATAATATCTCCTGGAATGCATGCCAGTATTGTACCAGTGGAGCCTTCTTTCACATCGCCTTCTTTTGCATCAGTTCAGCCAGGGCTTCTCTCATGCTCTGAGCAGGACTTCCATTAATGTGCCAGCCAGGACTTTTGATTATGTTTCAGCCAGGGCTTCCATTCACATGCCAGCCAGGGCTTCCATTTGTACTCCATCCAGGGTCTTATTTTGTGAAAATAAGGCATGCATGTGAAAGAAAACCTCAGTTGCATGCCATAATTTTAGCCAGATCCTTCTTTTGCACTGGCACAAAAGAAGGTAGTGTGAAATCAGTTCCCAGCTGGTATCCTAGTGGTATGTGGGGGTGCAGATATGAGAGGCAGGGCTAGGGTAATGAGGGCAGCTGATGGTAGCAAGAAGCAGGTGGCCAAATGAGTCCCAAAGGTGCTTTTCTAAAAGGCAATTGGATTTTCTTGTTTTTTTTCCTTGAAAATGTTTCGCTTCTCATCCAAGAAGCTTCTTTAGTTTTCAAGGAAACATTTTCAAGGAAAAAAAAAAGAAAGTCCACTTGCCTTTTAGAAAAGCACCTTTAGGACAATCATATCCTGGATGATTGAGAATCTCCACAGACATGCTTAACTGAGAACCAGTAAAGTTTTCATTTGGGCAGCTCAATTACTGAAAAGAGAAAATATGGAAGGAAAAAAAAAAGAATTTTGTCAATCAGTTTGATTTTTAGTAAATTTCTTCTCCCTCTTTCCCTTCCTCCCTTAGTTTAATTGACTGGAATAACCCAGTCATCATCAACAAGCTGTACAAAGTTTACCTTGGGGATATACCACTAAAAACTAAGGAGGTAAGAATTGCTTACCCAAATTTGTGTTCCTTCTTATTTTCTATTTTTTGCACTTTGTGTATCGTTTGGTATTACATATTGTGTAATATGGATTATTTGCTGTTGTAGAGAATATCATTTAAAGAGTTATTTACATTCACATTTTTCCTACTCTTTCATTAACCTAGAAGTAAAGGAAGAAAAATGCTTTCTAGAAAAAAAAGAGCTGCTGTTCCTTATTCCGGACAACTGGGTATAGGTAGTCCTTGATTTATGACTGTAATAGATCCTCCCTTTTACAATTGTAAATTGTGACAGTCATAAAGTGGTCATTTTACTACCTTTTTAATGGTTGCAAACAGTCATAAATTCAAACTGGTTGCTGAGTGGCCAAAGTGTAAACATAGGACTGGGGGTCGGAGGAGAGGTCCCTCACCATTAGAACTTTGAATCTTGGTCATAAGTCCCACCCACCCCCCACCCCCCTGAGGACCATCATGACTTTGAACAGTTGTTAAGCAACCAATCATAAGTTGAGGACAACCTACATCTTAAAATAAAACAACTAAGGATAAAGTTGTTAATCCTTAAAGCAGAAAGACAAAATTTGAGTCCAAACTAAAATCCAATAGAAGAAAACAATCGTATGAGGTGTGTGTTTTTTTTAAAATTAAAGAACGTATTAAAGAAAGTTTTACGGCCTGGGTGCTACAGTGGGAAAGGCTATACCTATCTTGACAACATAATTGCTAGACATCCCCCTTTCTTTAAGATTCTTAAATGTGCCCACTGGCTCTAAAATGCATCGAGATCTTCACTCTGTATCAATGCTGCCACTGAAAAACACTCTCTTATGCTGCAAAATTGAAATATAGGCAGCCCTTTTTATCAGTCATGCTTAAAATTTTTCATCTATGTTTGCTCCTTTTTTGTGAGAGTGGTACCTTGGTACTCATTGTTAATTTGTTCCAGGGAGGCATGATGAGTACCAAACAGATTTTTCCCATAAGGAATAATGTAGTGAGTTGCAAGGCGGCCGGCACTGACAAATTTTATCTTGTGCGTTGAGTAGCAAACAAACAATGAGTATCGGGACAGAATTTTCATGTCAAAATGGGTTGAATACCAAATTTGATGAGTTTCAAAGCAGTTGAGTACCAAGATACCACTGTGCTTGTTTTTAATAGTTAGTTCACTTGTGCATGTATCTCTGCAATACAGCTTGGTTGCAGAGGAACTCCCACGAGGTTAGCCAAGTTGTAAGGCTGTATATCGGGGTGTCAAACTCAATTTCATTGCAGGCTGCATCAGGGTTGTGTTTGACCTCGGTGGTGGTCGTGGGGCATGGCCAGTGGGGGCATGGCAAGCTTGATGTCACTTATGTGATCAAATGCCACTTTTGCTAGTAGTTTATTTTGCTAGCACTCGGCCAGCGAAAACAGAGCTCGTGAGGGCCGCGCACTGTCATCCCAGGCTCCATTTTCACTGGCAGAGGCACTGTGAGCTGGTCCTTCATTGTTTTCAGGGCAACCCCACAGGCCAGATCTAAGCACCCTGAAGGCCGGATCCAGCCCACGGACCTTGAGTTTGACACCCCTACTGTATATGGTTTGTCATGGAAGCTGGCCTTAAGTGACGTATTCAGTTGGTGATGGTCTGCTTGTATCATATTGCTGATTCAGACTCAATGCAACTTGTTCACAATCTTCGTGGAGGGGATCTTAATACTGCAGGGGAATGCTAGTTCTGCCACAGAGAGCTTATGCTTGTCTCTCAATCACCCTGTTGGTTATTACTATTTCCTCCAGAGGGCTGAATGCGATCTATTACACCAAGAGATATTAGTGCTACCTTCAGATTGTTTGTAGTGATTAGAGCCAGGTACAAATCATCTGCTAAGTAATGTCCAGAGAATGCAGTAAGGTTATTGAATAACCATGCAAAGCAGAAGAGTCCTAAAAGCCATATATTAAAAGAGGGTAGTTCCCTCCATTAATCACTGAAACTAGCTGTTGCAAAGAAGATGCTTGGGGTCTTGCAGCTGGACGAGCTCAGATCTTTTATAAATGAACAATGAAAATGAAAAATGAATCCACTATAGTGTGCAGATGATAGCTCTGGGAGGAAGACAATGGCTATAGGCTTTGGAACCTTATCCTCCAGTTCCCATAAAAGCAAACTCATCTCATTATTTCAGGTTTTGTTATTCAGTTTTATGCTGGATCAGAACCTCTACAAATAATGAGAATTGTCTATCCTTTTAACCCTTGAAATAGATGCATCTGGTTTAAGGCATTTCAGGTAAATGCTTTCTTCACACTTCCAAGCATCATTTGCAGAGCAAATTCAAAGCGTAGGATAACCTAGATATATGATGTCTCATCTTGGATAATTGTCTCGTCATGTTGGGAATGGATCTTGGCTTTCTTTGACTATACCTGTAGTTCTCAAACTAGGGCACCACTGGATACACTCACGGGGATACAATGGCACATTTTACTGCCTAATAACTGGAGCTATCCCAACTCTTTCCTTGGTTCCATGGTGCAGTTTGGGAACTGCTAGGGATACCATGAAAAAGACACTAAAGCCAGCGTGAACCAAGAACATTTGGGAACCTCTGGAGTACACTAAGTTATATCTGTAGTAATCTCAGTACTTTTTCTTTCTTTCTTTTTTGTAACTTATAAAGTTCCAGTGCTTTGAAACGTTGTAGTTATATGTGCATTGTTACTCTGGTCAATGACCATAATAAAGATTTGATGTGTGCATTGTGATTGCTTTCCTGGAGTGATTTAAGTTTTTTTCTAATCATTTTTTGTTTCAAAATATTCATTTGTGTGTTTATAACAGGGAGTTGTTCTGAAACCAGAACTGAAACGTGATCCTGTCAGTACTCGGGTGAAGTTAAAGATTGTCCCACATCTTTTGCGCTCCAGGCAAGCTGCAGAAATGTTTCCTGCAAATATTCAGGTACTAGGTTTTTTTATCTGTCTCATTAATGTATTTTTAGTGAATTTAGCACTTAACAAACTACATGTAACCCATTGCCCTACATGAGGAGTTAAGCATTCTTAAGTTCATGGCTCACAGATGGTCCTTGCTTATCAACTGTTTTATGCAGCAATGTTTGAAATTACATGCAACACCCCTCCAGCATTCCAGCTTTACTACCAATCCTCATTTATCCTACAGTCACATGATAGCCATTTGCATGCGTCCCCATAGCTTGTGACAAGCAGAGTTAAGGAAGAACATAGAATTAAGGTCCTAAATTGATTTGCTTAATGACCAAATAAAGAATTACCATTATAACCCTGTCGCAATCATGTGATTTTTTTTCCCACTTAGAAAACCATGGTGCTTAATGACTGTCCCATTGTGATAGCTAAGCAAGGACTACTTGTATCTTCAGGATGTCATTTATCTTTTTAAAAAATATTTAATTTTTAAAAATAAATAAAATAAATTTAATTTGATCAAACTTATTTGACATGCAGAAGATTTTTGGCATTATTCCCATGAGACTTGGAAAATTGTTTGAAATAATATTTCTCCTGAAATTTTTTCATTCGTTTTATTTTTTTAAGGTGGTTTATGATGGGCTGTTTGGTGCAAATGCCAATGCTAAACTGAGAACTCTGTCTCTTCAATTTGTGCATCATATTTGTGTAATGTAAGTATTTTCATGTTATGACTTTTTTTCTTGACAAGTTTTTTAAAGATGTGGTTTGCCATTGTCTCCTTACTGTGGCTGGGAAGAAAGTAACTGGCTCAAAGTCACCCAGCTAGCTTGGTGCCTATGGTGGGACTAGAACTCACTATCTCCCAGGTTCTAGCTGGATGCCTTAACCACTGCACCAAACTAGTTCTCCTATAACATCATATATACAATTGAAATGAAGGTTAAATAATTTAATGTGAATACAACATAAAGTTTAGTGATGTATCTCAAGAAAAATGCATTGTTATAATTTTAATAACAGTTTAGTCCTGTCCTACTTGGTGTAGTTGTTAAGGCATGTAGACATTAAGAGACTGGGAGATGGTGAGTTTTCTGCAAAACGGTTTTCATTATCTGCCAAAAGAAGAACATTGCCACACAGAGTGGACCTGGGCATTTTTGTGGCTTCAGTCCACATTCGTCCCTTTGGCTGTCCCTGTCTGGCCTGCACCATCAAGGTGGCATCAACGGCGGAGTGGTGTCAGTGGGGAGTGGGGCAGTGACAGGGGTGGGGTGGTGATGGCAGCCTCCCACAACAGTCCAAGTTTCTCATATGGTCCTTTGGCCACATTAATTTCCCACTCCTGATAACAGAAGCATCCTTTGAAAAGAATTTTCTTACATGTAAAGGACAACTCTTATTATTAAGGCTGTTCGCTTGTTAAATCATTACTATTTTCATGTGAATTTTAGTTGCCCTGACAGCAAGATAAAACCATTAGGCCCGATGCTTTTGAATGGACTGACAAAACTGATAAATGAATATAAAGAGGTGAGTTCAAAGGGAGCCTTGTAAAGAATCTTACTTATTTGTGGAACTTAGAATATTAAATGTTCTTATTATTTACACTTGTTTTTTTTCTAAAGGACTAATCTCTATGGTAGTACTAGTATAGCTGGTTATAACAAAACCAATGAGGTTTAAAATGCAATTATTGTACTTGGATTATTGAATGCTGATTTAATCAAGCAAGATATTCCCTTGGTATATCTTTATCTATATCTGTTGGAATTCTGTTCCATTCTTTTGTTGGTGCATGTGGAAAAACACACTGATAAACTCTGGTCATAATTAAAGCTTGTTTGTGTAAAACTGGCTTGTTCCCTTGAGCAGATGGAGGAAAGTAGTTTTATGTCAGTATATTTCTTCCACTCCTAGATTGATTGGTGATTTTCCAATCCCAATAATGTTTCATTGTTTCTTTCCACCAAAAAGCATTGACTTTTATCCAATGCTTGGTGCTGACCACTCTGGTTTTCTCCATTAATAAATTTGAGACTGACCAAGATGTGTTGACATTTCCTTCTTGTGACTCTTTGTGGCTCGAATTCTTTCATTGTTCAATACTTTAATTTCTTGTTAGAAAGAGATTACAAAATGATTGAAGGGTTGTCTATTGAACAGCTAAAAACTTATTTGTAATATTGAGAATCCTTATAGCTGTAGCACATATTTAGTGTCTATGAGTGGAATTCATAGAGTATTCTGTTGCAAGGATAACTTTTTTCCCTATTATGTATTGGCAGAGGATATCTTGTCATAGAAAATCCAAGGTATATTTGGATGTAATGTTCTTCAGTTCCCATCCAGGAGGCATTGGTTAATGAGCTAATAGATGTAAAACCTCCAAGCTGTGTCTCTTGAAATATGCTGGAGACAAGTTGGCACTTAGGCAGTAAAATCAAGTTAAGAAGATAATTGGCATATGTCTAGCTAGGAAACAGTATTGTATTTTTTTGCCTTGCTCATTATATGTACCAATATAATACTCAGTATTTCAAAAGGTTGACCTACATGTACATTGTTATAACATTGAATATAAAGTGTATTCATGTAAAATTTATTTTAGGCACATCAGAATTGTTGGTTTTCCCGATTATATCTGCACTTGTGCTCAAATCTACACTTCCAATTATTTCTCTAAAGCATTGGCATAATGTCTGTCTTCATATCAGTTTTGCACTTCCCACTCTCTTCTTTGATAGAAGTAGTTTTAGTGCTATGTGATACAATTATTTTTGTTACATATGCAGAGCATAATTTAACGGTAATAAACAGATTATTCAGTTTTTAGAATGTTTTGTGTTTGCAAATATATATTTTAAGATGAGTATAGATCAAACAACAGAAATACATAATTGTCAGGGTAAACATGAACGTATGTTGTCCCTTTTATGGCTCTTTGCTTATTTCACAGTTGTTTTCTGTTTCTTTTTTTCTTTAATAATTGAAGGATCCCAAACTGCTTTCAGTGGCCTATTCTGCTGTTGGAAAACTTTCCAGGTAACAAAATTGCATTTAGACTGTTGAGATGTCAGTTGATTGTTTTAAAGCAATTGTTACTCTGTCAGCAAGCAAGCAGGTTGTCTTAGTGTAAAGTGTAGATCAGATGCTATCTTTTGACAGTTCTGGAGTTTATATGCTAAGGTGAATACTATTTTTAAGAAAAGAAGGAATCAAATTAGAAAAAAAGGATTCTTGTCTACATTGCCTAAATGTTACATATTTAAATTTAAATGGAGTAAAGACAGCAACATCATGCTAAAGAATTCCAAATATAAAATCTGTCCTTAAAAAGGGCTGTCAAAATTGAACTCGTTATATTCTTTTTAATAACTGTTTTTGCTCAGTATTGGGAAAAGTAGAAATCTTCACAGTAATTATTCATTTGGCTGATCTTGGAGAGATAACTAAAATCATATGTTATTAATTATCGAATATTGATGAGCCGTGGTGGCGCAGTGGTTAGAGTGCAGTATTGCAGGCTACTTTTGCTGACTGCCTGTTAACCTGCAATTTGGCAGTTCGAACGAACTAACTAGTATATGAGAAATGGGCAGGACAAGAAGCAATGGGGGGAAACTAATCAAGGAGAGAAGCAACTTAGAACTAAGGAGAAATTTCCTGACAGAACAATTAATCAGTGGAACAACTTTCCTCCAGAAGCTGTGAATGTTCCAACACTGGAAGTTTTTAAAAAGTTGTTGGATAACAATTTGTCTGAAGTGATATAGGGTTTCTGCCTAGGCAGGGGGTTGGACTAGAAGACCTCCAAAGTCCCTTCCAACTATTCTATTCTATTCTATTCTATTCTATTCTATTCTATTCTATTCTATTCTATTCTAAACACTGTTTGAGAAAATGTCTAGTTAGTATGTTAGCTGAAATTCCTACTTCGTTTCAAATAAAGTCCTTTTAAAAATACTTTTTTTCCAGCCGAATACCTCAACTGTTTACCAAGGATCTTGCACTCGTCCAACAATTTTTTGAAGCTCTTTCTAAGGTTGGTGATTTTATTTTAATTTTACCAAACAATTAGTTTATCTAGAGTTTGTTTGTTTTCTTATTTGTGGGATACTTATTAGATGTTAACACTCAGATATCATTTCAGGAAGACCCTGATACCAGACTAGCTATTCAGGAAGCTCTGTCCATGATGGTTGGTGCATATACCAGTTTAGAAGGAGCACCTCGTACTCTCATGGAGGCACTTGTAGCCTCTAACCTAATCAAGGTGAGTCACCAGGATATGAAAGGAGTGTGAAAACCTGGGTTTAGTTTCCCCTTAATCGCTTGTACATAAGAATGGTTATATTAATTTATGGTATGCAGTTAGGAGAATAAAAATTTCTTTCTCCCTCTCTCTTGGGCCTGGTCCAGAGGTGCTATTCAGCAGGTTCTGACCAGTTCTGGAGAACTGGTAGTGGAAATTTTGAGTAGTTCAGAGAACTGGCAAATACCACCTCTGACTGGAGATTTTACAGTATCCTTGGTGGGCGTGTCAGGGTATCCCCTGCCACGCCCACAAGCCATGCCCACAGAACCAGTACTAAAAAGTTTGAATCCCACCACTGGCCTGATCTCCATTCATTGTCTCTTCATGATTTACATAAATGCATGCCTACATGCAATACAATACAGTACATGCATGCATACATACATACATACATATAGAGAGTATCTTCAAATTGTGCCCGCCTCTCTGAATATCAGTTTGAATGTTTTTTTTTGATCTTCAATATTTCTTTATAATAGACGCAAACACAGAGAAAAAGTAGAGAATGTCTCAAATTCCTGTGACTAGTTGATCTCATGATAGCCAAGAGCGATAATTCCTTTGCAAAATGATTGGGCCTACAATGTTATTTAAAGAAGGCAAATCTATCTAGTTCCTCCCAAAATATTGCTCATCCCTGATGTTACCTTTCAGATGTGTTGGTTTATATTTTTTAGAATTTTAAGGCAATATAAAAATTTCAGCAAAGAATTTTGGGGATTATGGTCCAGTGCTTTAAGAAGGAATCATGCTACCTAAAATTAGTCTATCATAGTGTATATATGGACGATATATTTTTTATTATGGAACTTCCACTTTAAAAATTGCATATTATATGACCTTGAAAAATGTAAGCAAAACTGAGTAAGTGGAACCACAAATAATGCCAGCTGACTTATATAGGCAATATTTAATCTATGCAATATTTTGTTAAAGACTATTTTTAGAACTACATATATGAAGCAAGCATAGGCACATTTTTTTAACCCTTCAATTATATCCTCGAAACCTGAACATTTTATGGCCGACCTAATATGCTATATTTAGTTCACATTTCATTGCATCATACCTATAATTACTGACTTGATTGTGCTTGCTCTTGCTGCACCAAGGGAGCAGTAAAAAGAATTATTTTTGCTATTTCAAATTTTGAGAAATGTTGATTCCTGAGAAAGAATCTTAAATGATCTGTTCTCTTACAGATGAACTATGCATGAGCAGAGATCTATTATTTATTTAGAAAGATTTTTTTTTCATATTATTTTGTTTAATTACAATACATAATTAATGCCTAAGTCATTGAAGGAGGTTCAGGAAAAAAAAATTTAAAAAATCATAACGATATTAAGCATGTTATAAAGGAAAACTTTTTGTACCTGCCTTTTTACTTTTGGTGCATACAGTATTTTGAATATTGTATGTCAGTGCCTGATTTGGTAAAGAGTTTGTTTCTGATTATTTCTCCATCTTTCTGACTTTTTTGTTTTAGCCTCAAGTTCAAGTCCGCCAAGTAGCTGTAAAATTTGCCAGCACAGTGTTTCCTTCCGATCACATTCCGTCAAGATACTTGTTACTTCTAGCTGCAGGAGATCCGTACGTTTAATATTACATTATAGACTGGGTATAAAATGCTAATGTTATATAGCAGTATCTTAAATAAAAGGTAAAGGTTCCCCTCGCTAGTTGTTTCCAGCTCTAGGGGATAGTGCTCATCTCTGTTACAAAGCTGAAGAGCCAGCACTGTCCAAAGTCGTCTCCATGGTCATGTGGCTGGCATGACGAAATGCAGAAGGTTCACGGAACGCTGTTACCTTCCCACCAAAGTGGTTCCTATTTTTCTACTTGCATTTTTACATGCAAGTACAACTGCTAGGTTGGCAAAAGCTGGGACAAGTAACGGGAGCTCACTCCGTTACATGGTGCTAGGGATTCGAACCGCCAAACTGCCGACCTTTCTGATCAACAAGTTCAGCGTCTTAAGCCACTGAGCCACCACGTCCCCTTATCTTAAATAGGGATCGATAATTTTTATTTTGATTCTTTTAAACTATTACTTCAATTGATATCCATTTTACTGGTTCTGTAAAATGTTTTTTATTTATTTATTTGAGTTTTGTCCTGCCTTTATTATTTCATAAGTGCCTCAAGGCAGTGAACGTACTTAACGCTTCTTCCTCCTCCTCCTCTTTTCTCCACAACTGCAGCCCTGTGAAGTGAGTTGGGATGAAAGAGATAGTGAGTGCCTCAAAGTTACTCAGCCAGCTTTCTTGCCTAAAGCAGGAGTAGAACTCACAGTCTCCTGGTTTCTAGGCCAGCATCTTAACCACTATACTAAGCTGGCTCTCTTTTAATTCACATACTTTAGACATCAAGTCTTTGAAACATATAGTATGGAAATATCATGACCCTTACTTTGTATCTTTATTTATATTTAGTGCACCCTGTTAGTACATGTTATAGATGCCAGTTTGTATATCAAATCTAAAACTCATTGCTTTGTCTCAAAAATGGCTTCCTCCATCGCTATCAGAGCCTGGGCTGGTAGACTACAATTAAAAAGACAGTTGGAAAGCCTTTTAGTAAATAGTTTCACCTTTGTTTTTGAAGCTAATATTTATAGCCTTCTCCATAGACAGAAAAAGACAACTGGGGCTTCTTGCCACCCCGCAAGGCAGGGTGCCCCAAAGGGAACAAATAAAGGGAGATAGATGTGGGGAGGGGGATTTGAAGACAGTCCCTTACCCTTACTGAGACTCAGGGCTAGGAGGGACCAAACCTGGAATGGCTTGGCCGGGGGTGGGTATTTGCTTAATGACCTGCATTTCTCAGTTTAACAACTGCGGTGGAGAGTGCTGGGATTGCCATTGTAAGTCGGTGTGATCCTGTGAAGTCTTGCTTTATAACCATCCAACCTATGACTGCAGTCCCAATTAGAGCCATTAGGCATGGCTGAACTCGTAATAATTCATTTTTAAAAAATGAAAGATTTATAGAAAGCTGATGAAGAGGAGAAAATACTAGCTAAAGTTATGTCCAAACATAACTTCTGAAAGCTAATATTGTAGGCCAAAAACATAAAGGTACTGACCGCTCTAAACCTGTGGAAATTGTAAAATTATGGAAACAATTTTTATCAGATTGTGTGTAATAAATGGTGTTCAGAGTTGTATGAGTGGTTTAGAAAGGTGGCCAAAAAAATAGAAGCAAAGCAGTGATATCCAACCTATAAGTAGAAAATGAATTAATACTGTATTTGGCTGTATTGTGGAATATAGAAAGCTTTGCTAGATCAGGTAAAATATTTATTTAATTTAGCAACACGTTGCTGAAGATTACCAGGCATAATAATATCTGATTTATTCTTTGTCCAAATTTTTAAATTCTAAACCTCACCTTGCATCAACAGTTGGACGACTTTGGACAGCTAGAGATCTTTTCTATAAGGATTTGGCAAAATAAAAAAAAAGGATGAAAAGTGCAATGTCCCAGTTCATATTTAATATAATGGAATTTAAATTATGTATCTGCTAAAAATGTCTTCCTCTTTATTGCAGCTGGGATAATGAATAAATCAGAATTAATTTTCATTTTTGCATTTTCCAAAGTAGCTTACATTTATGAGTTTTTTTTAAAAAAAGTCAATTCTAAGTAAAATCAACTTTAAGTCACGGGTGATTTATTTAATGTCTCTATTAAGACGATAAGTCAAGAGTCTACTGAATCAAACTAAAGATTAGTTTATTGTTATCCAGTGTCTCAATAAGAAGACAATGGAAAGAGGATCCTGGCTGTTTCTTGTTTGTGCATGTAATGCTAAATAATTGGTTCTTAGGGTAGTGCAATCCTGTGGAAAACATTTCAAGCGATGTATTTTGGAGTGCAAGGGAGCCCAATGTAAAAGTAGTTATGTCTTTTCCTAGAAACCGTTGTCTTCCCTCTTTGAATTATGTGTGATTCCAGGAGAGGATGCAGCTACTTTAAGAAGTTGTAGACAGGTGCTACATTCTACATTCTGAATTACCCTTTTGAAATTAAATGCAGAATATAAACACAGCCCTTGCGTTAATGTGAACTGACATATTAATCAATGTTTTTCTGCTGAGTTATTTTGGGAGGTTGATGGAGAAAAAGTTCTATTTGTGCATTTTTGAAAATGTTTTATTTTAATTTCTGAAAGGCGGGAAGAGGTACACGGAGAAGCACAACGTGCTCTGAGAACATTTCCTGGTAAAAATGAAAAGGAAAGTGCTGATAAACAGATGCCTTCATTCCCAGAAATGGTCCAGTATATTCAAGAGAAGGTACAGGACTTCAGCTTAAAACTCTGCATTATACTATGGTACACACTGTTCAACTCCCAACCCTGTTCCCTATTGAGAGCATGAATTGAATCACGTATTTTCCTTGTTTAGTGACTACAGTTGAAACCTTTAAGAGGTCTCTAAGTTAAAAAAATCACGACCATGATTATTTTTATGATTTTACTTCAGCTTTCCTTTCCTTTACAGACTTGCAAAAATCGTAAATGCAGGCATTAGTCTCAAAATTACTTGGTTACTGTCCAAGGCAGTCATTAAGCAAGGACTACCTATAAAGGCATAGGACTAATTGTTGTAAAATTGAGTAATTTGTATGAATTGCAAAACATTTGAGGAATAAGCACCATGTTCTGTTAAATACATGAATACTTTATTTTAGGCCTCCCACCGAATGAAAACGCCTGCTAAATATATGACTGGAACAACAGTAATGCCTTTCAACCCAGCTACTTTTGGAGAGGTATGCATCTCAGTTACAAATTAGGGGAAGCCCTATTTGTTAATAGCAAAATTCTCTTCTGTATATATATTGTTTCATCTTGAAATAGTGTATTTTACACAAGCACATACTTGAAATTTAAGATCTACATCAGAGGTTTTATTGGGAGGTTTGGTGGGTTGTGAGTGAGGAGACAGCTTTTGGTAGTGACACATCTTTTTTACACAAAGCTTTCTTTCAACAGATGAGGAAATTGCTAGTACTTCTGTGAGCCAGCAGAGAATCCTTTTACCCAAGACTTTAGTGGCTTTCCTGATATCTTATTGCTATATAGATTTTTATGTACTTGTATGGTCCTTATTCTGCTTTTTGCTGAATGGTTTTACTTTCCCCATTTTTCCAGCCCCTCTGCAAGTTGTTCCTGATATTCAGTGAGAAAAATGGGACATTTTTTTCCTTTACACAATAAGCACACAAAAAAGTAAATTTAATACACTGATATATTTTAGGAGAACCAATTTGATGTAGTGATTAAGCCTCCAGGGTAGAAACCATGAGTTACAGTCCTGCCTTAGGCATGAAGCCAGTCCCTGGGCCAGTCATTCTTTGCCCAGCACTAGGAAGGCATTGGTAAACCACTTTTGAAAATCTTAACAAGAAAATTGCAGGAGCTAAATCTGTGCAGTCACCTGAAGTCAACACCTTTTGGAAGGTACCCCCCTGAAAGTATTTTTAAAATGACTACAAAGCAAAACTGAAACTTCTGAACATTATCAGCCACGCCCTCTGCATTTTTCCAATGCCTAATAAATAAATAAATTTAAAATTGAGGTCATGAAGAAAAAAATGTTGCCTTTTCCTTAGACATTTATTAAAAAATGAGTAGAAAGTTGATATTAAGGAACTTTCTGCACCCAATATCTATATGCTTTGCTCTTTTCCCTTGTAAAATTGTAGTATATATGTAATATCAGGCATGATCCATTTAGTTTAAGAATTTTAAAATTCTTTCACTAAAACAGACTTGTTAATAGAGTTAATATATTCCCAAAGAAATTAATGAGACAGCAAAGTTCAACTCTTCAGTCATCTCTTTAATAGATTTTCTTCTTCAGTCTAGGCCAGGTTTTGCATCAGTAGCTTCAAGCAGAATAATGCATATTTGTACTTTTAACAGTAAGTTATGTGCACTTTTTGAAAATAGCTGGCAGACTCCAAACTGGAGCCCTGGTGGTGCAGTGGTTAGAATATAGTATTGCAGGCAAATTCTGCTGACTGACAGCTGTTTGATTTTCACTGGCTTGAGGTTGACTCAGCCTTCCATCCTTACAAGGTCAGTAAAAAGAGGACCCAGATTGTTGGGGACAATATGCTGACTCTATAAACTTCTGATTCTTTACAGAGAGGGTTGTAAAGCACTATGAAGCAGTATATAAGTCTAAGTGCTATTGCTAAAAAAAAACCACGCATTTGGTGGAAAACAAACTTGGTGTGTGTGAGTGTGTGTGTGTGTGAGAGAGAGAGAAAGAGAGAATCTCCTAAACCCCCTAGATGTTCTGTTTGATCTTTGTTGTTTTTCAAGCCAGATGGGGAGTGAAATAACTTGAGTTACTATTACTTTTATTCTAAATAGGGTTATAAAATCCAAAAGGATTCATGGAAATGATTTTTTTTTGGAGGTAGTTTATTTTGCAGCATACCGACTACTGTTTTATTGTAGATTTAAAAATAGGTTTGGCATCAAATTTAGGTACCCAGGATATAGTGTGGCAGAAGCTTAGTTTAGAACAGGGGTGTCAAACTCAAGGACCAGGGGCCGGACCTGGCCTGCGGGGCACTTAAGTGTGGCCCACGGGGCGCCTTGAAAACAGCAAAGGAAAGGCCCACTGTACCCCTGCCAGTGAAAATGGACCTTGCTAAGGCTGCAGGCAGCCCTCCCAAGCTCCTTTTTTTGCTGGCAGAGAGTTGCAGGACGTTATTATAGCCAAAAACAGAGCTCGGGAGCCCATTTTCTCTGGCAGAGCGCTCGGGCCACCTCAGGTGCCCCCAACATGAGTGATGTTGAGCTGGCCACGCCCACCCTGGCCACCCCCACTCCACCCCCTGAGGTCAAACACAACTCTGATGTGACCCTCAATGAAATCAAGTTTGACACCCCTAGTTTAGTATATGACATGTTTGTAGGCAAGTTACTGTTAGCCTTAGCTTCCTTAACTTTTGAACATTGGGATAATTTGGTTGATTTGTCTTAACAGACTTTAGTAATGAATGAGACCACAACATCCTTTGGACATTTTAAATCAACAGTATCAGAAGAGATGCGATTATTGTACTGTGATTGATTGATTGAACAGTTTTATTCTGTAAGGGAAGGTTGGTGAACCTTTATATTTGTTTTTCTGTTTTGCTTAGATAGTGCTGTATCTCCGGATGTGTCTTGCTCACAGTGCTGGTGTGGTGCCTACTTCTCAGAGCTTAGCTGATATGCAAGATCATGCTCCAGCCATTGGCCGTTATATAAGAAACCTCCTCTCTGGGAATGTTATAACATCCTCATCCTCAAAAGGTGGTGAAAGCAATCCTGTACAGATCTATATAAGTCTCCTTCAGCAGTTGCTCTCTGGCGTTGGAGGTGAGAAACACACAGGTCACAAAGCTTTAAAAAATGTTTTACTGCCTTTATTGTGAATGAGTAATAAAGCTGCTTCAAAAGATGAATTCAGCATCCGTTGCTGGTCATTTAGTTAGTGTGAGCAGATTCACTTCCTAGAAATGTAAGGTCCATTTTAATGCAATAAATTAGGCCAAAGCAACCTGTCTTTATCAGGCTGATGGTCTGTAGAGATTCTCAGTCATCCAGGTCATGGTTGTCCCTTTTTGTTGTGCTTTTTCAGGAGGCAACTGGACTTTCTTGTTTTTTCTTTGAAGATGTTTCACTTCTCATCCAAGAAGCTTCTTCAGCTCTGACAGGATTCCATTCTCCACTACCCTGTCAGAGCTGAAGAAGCTTCTTTGATGAGAAGTGAAACATCTTCAAAAGAAAAACAAGAAACTCCAGTTGTCTCCTGAGAAAGCACCTTTGGGATATCAGGCTGATACTTTGAAGCTCCACTGGTTCCAGTTTTAGAACTAAAAACATAGTTACATGTTCAGTGAGTATATTTTTGGCAAGCCCATTGTGTTGAAAATTACATAATTTTGACAGAGGTTATTTTATTACATTAAAAAAAAATTATATTACGGGGGCCTAACTGGAATATAAATTGAGTGGTAGACCCTCTCACTGTAGCCCTTGGCCAGTAAAGAAGGAAAAAAAACGGCAGTGTAATTTTTGGCAGAGAAAAACTGACCATCCTGCATGAGAAATAAACCAAGCTTTAGCTGGTTTAGAATTCTGTTCTCATTAGCTAGTCAGATCTGTCCATCCTCAAACCAGGCATAAAAACTAAGGTACTTTCCCAATTACCTTACTACCTATCTATACAGAGATTCTGTGCAGACATCAAGTGGCATAATCATTATTAGACCTAAACTTTGTTTTTCTCCCAGTCCTTTTAAAAATAGATGCCTTAAATTTTAGGTCATTGCCATCAAAATTTTACCTTACCTTGTGTTTAACTGATCTTTTCCATTACTAATTCAAGATGCTGGATAATAATTTCATCTTTTGACCGGGGAGTGTGGAGAGGAATGAAAAACTATAAGGGAAGCGGCTAACTAATTTTCAGAAGTTAATTTGCTATAAATAACTGGGGGAAAAAATCACACAGGTTTTCTAATCTTGCATTCCCTGCTATATATTTCTATTTCTACTCTTTGGCATGTCTTTCATTGATTCCAGCATTCTAGGCTTTCCCCATCCCTGTCTTACTATCACTTCCTCTTATCACAGCGACACCGGAAGTGGCATCACTTCCAGTATCGCGAGATTTTGGCAGCTGCGCCACTCATTCTTCCATCTTCCCTGCTTTTGGGTTCTGCGTGGGTGAGTCACTGACAGTGTGGGTTCATATCTTATTATTTAAGTTTTGAGTTGCATTTAGGTTTATGTCTCATTTTAAGGTTGGGGGGAAAAAAGAGATCCAAACTGGCCTTTCTCCAGTTTTTTTTTAATTTTTGTAAGCCATTAAATTACAACCGAACAGCTTTCAAGCAACTACAAGAGATTTATTATAAAAGAGCCAATCTCAAAATCAAAATAAATTTGACTTTGAGATGTTGTGAGCTCTTTAGATAGGCGTGCCACTTATTCTTGGAATGTGTTTCATTCTCGTTGCCTGAACTGAAGTGTGTGTTATGAATGATGAGATGAGCTTGGATTGGCTACAGTAGCTTTTTTTTTCTTTTTTCAGGAATGATTTGCTAGTGCATCTAAAATGTTAGTAACATAGAATATGTTGTGGCCTTGAAATTCCACAATAGCACACAAGTTTTTGTTGCATCTCTATGTCATAACATTTATTAATAAAATACTATGCATGCATGATGTTTCAGCCGATTGCTGTGTGGGTCAACATATGCTGTACAGCTAAATCCTCGACTTACGATTTACAATTGGATTAGAATTTCTATTGCTAAGCAAGGCGGTTGTTAAGTGAGTCGTGCCTGATTTTATGAGCTTTTTTGCCACTATTGTTACACAAATCAATGCAGTTGTTAAATGAATCACATGGCTGTTAAGCAAGCAAATCCAGCTTCTCCCATTGACTTTGCTCCTCAGAACCCAGATGGCAAGGTAAGGGTAAGGGATTCTGCAGAACCCAGATGGTAAGACCCTGGGATTCTGCAATCACTGTAAATACAGTATATGCCAGTTGCCAGGAACCTAAATTTGGTTGTAAGTGCAAGAACTGCTCATAAGTCACTTTTTTAATGCTGTTGTAACTTTGAATGGTCACTAAACAAATGGTGGTAAGTTGAGGATTATCTGTGTAGCTCAGTATGGTTCAAATATATATTCCAATATTAACATATTGAATATTGTTAAGATATTTAGTAGAGAATCCTGGATTTAATTTTTGAATGTCTTCATCCCATATTTGAATTCTCAAGTTTCCTGATGAGATTACACTTTTTAGATACAGGATTCTTTGGTCAGAAAATTTTTGACATCCATCCACACAAACCAATTAAGCAATTCCTTTTCAACATTATTCAGAATGAGGGAAAAATAGTAAGAAATAGCAAAAGAAACTTAACACCAGAAAAGAATAAAGGAAATACACACCCTCAATACGTGATCCCATAAATACTGACCTCTTAACACCTATTGAAGCTTTGGCCAATTCAGCCTTCTAGTAAGATAGTGGATATTTTAAAGTTATATCGCTAGCCTTAGTTGTAACATGTGTAGTAGCATTTCTTGTTGCAAATAAAGTCTCCACTCATCAATTTAGGTATGTTTTTACAAGTATACTTTTAGTGCAACAAGGGTCAGTTTTACTGTGCAAGCTAGATTTCTATTCCAGAAACAGTTTTGCAGAGCAACATATTATTGTCTGCATTTCACCAGCTATGAGGTACATGCAGTCTCTCAGTGCAAAATATATCTGAAATAGTATTAAGTTACAAAGTAAAGTGAATGTAAATATTTGTTTTGAATAATTTTGGCATGCCTATTACAAAGATAATGAATCATATTTGTATGCATGGTGATTTCATTTAGCAAGTTTAATATTTTGTGGTGATTTCATTAGCAAATTCATTTATATTGAATACAATAGTTTCTGTTCATATTTTGTTCATTTTAATAATTTGAGAACTCTTTAAAAAATATAGGTTTGCCAGTCATGTACTGTTTGCTGGAAGTTGTTTCAGTCTATCCTGAAAAGCTAGCTGCACGATTTATAGACAAGATGGATTGGATAAAGGTATGCTAAAGAAAAAGATGATTTTATTCCAAAATTTTGCACTTCATTCTAGTAGAACAGATTTCTACCACCCCCCAATACCCAAGAAAGGAATGATTGCGATAGGGTTAAAAGTATGTTTCTCAATAGCTCCTGATCTGTTAAAAGTAAGTTCCTGGAAGCCAATATGACATCATTATTATCCACATACTTTTAAATATAATGCTTCTCATATACTGCTTATATAGGCCTCTATAAATAAGTCATAGGGATATCTTTACAATAAGAGTTTAAAGAAAAATTCAGTGAAGGAAAATAGCTTATGGCAACTTCTACTAAGAATGTCACTATCTGAAATAAAGTTTCAGAGGCAAAACTACTCAGAATTTTTATTAAAGCACCTAAAATAATGTGATAATTAATAGACTGTGGGTTTGTAGTGAATGTTTGAGTTCCTGTCCTTAGTCTTTAGTTTTATTGCATTGCACATAGTAATGCTTGTAAAATTCAATGAGGCAAATAATGCAAAAAGCTGCGGTGACACAGTGGTTAGAATGCTACTTATAGCCAGGAGTTCGATTCTGCCTGGCTCAAGGTTGACTCAGCCTTCCATCTTTCTGAGGTCGATAAAATGAGGATTCAGATTGTTGGGGAAAATATGCTGACTCTGTAAACTGCTTAGAGAGGGCTGTAAAGCACTCTATTTAGTTGCTATTGCTAATCATGTTGAAAAGCAAGACTGGTGCAGAATTCTAAGTATCGTTGTTCTCCTTCCTCTTCAGTTAAATATTCTTTGGAAAAGATGCTCTTTAGCCATTCCCGACAGAAAAAATGGGGTTAATTGGATCAATATATTTATTATATAAAAGCTGGTAGGGTATTATCTATTTTTAACATATTGTATTCCTTTATATTGTTTTCAGAATCTTATGAATACTAATAAGGAAGAAATGCGGGAACTGGCTGCTCTATTTTATTCAGTTGTACTTTCGACCATGTCAGAAAATGAATTCAAAACATCTGTTCAGCACCTGATAAAAACAGCAAAGGACAATCATGTAATATTTTTGTTTTTACCTCACACCACTTTTATGAATGAAAGTATAATAGTATTATTATGTATCTTAAATGCCCTTTTCTATTTAAGGAATATTGAACTAAATTAAGAGTAAGGAGTTTTTTTATGAATATCAGAAAACTGGGAGTAAGAGCCCAATTAGTTATAACTAAAATTGGTTAATTAAATGACTGATTCAGTTCAAATACATTTGTATATAAAGGAAAGTCCTTGTCTGAGGGAAAAATATTTGCTTTTAATTAGTGCATATATTCTGTCAAAACATTTATATGGCCGTTTTAGAGTTGTCAACAGAAAGGGGGGGGGGAAGGGGTTTGAAAGAGCAGTGCGGCAGCTTGGAAATCGAAACTGCATTCCATAGTTTTTCAGAGATAGTAACTAGGTGACTGAAGTTTCTGCCATGCAAAAATCTAACTGGAAAACATGATGGATGACTCTTGGCTATGGATGTGTGTCATTGGAGAATATGAATTATAATACACCCAGAGCGGTGGGGGAAAACCAGGGTCAAGGGTGACAGTGAATTATCTGTCTCAAAGTCGGCTACACCCAGGCAGGGCCAACATGTTAACTACCAAATAAATCCTGTTTAGTTTTGGAAGTTTGGCTTGAGACTCATGATTTAATTGGGGTAACTGCCGGAATCCTGACAGATTTCACAATAGCTTAGAAAAATAATTTCACCTTTATAAGAATGAAAGGACTGATTTTTCTAAGAAGCTATATAGCAGACATGTCATACTCGATTTCATTAAGGGCCGCATCAGGGTTGTGTTTGACCTCGGGCAGCTGGAATGGGTTTAGCCAGGGTGGGTATGGCCAGCTTGATGTCACTTATGGCCAGCAAAACTGGAGCTCGGTGGGGATCCCTGCAGGGCTCCCTGGGCTCCATTTTCACTGGCAAAGGGTTGCAGGAGGCCGTCACAGCAGAAAACAGAGCCTACGAGGGCCGTGGATGGCCCTCCTGAGCTCCGTTTTTGCTGACAGGCACTGCGGGCCGGTCCTTCACTGTTTCAAGGAAAGCCCCACAGGCCAGATGTAAGCAGCCTGTGGGCCAGATTTGGCCCATGGGCCTTGAGTTTGACACCCCTGCTATATAGCATCCACTGTTTATAAATAGAGGGAAAATAATCAATTAAAGATCAATATGCACAGACATACTATTTTAATTTTTAGGCTATTAACACGCACACTATTTAAATATAAGAAGGCTGTTCAAAATGTTCTCTCTCTCTCTCTCTCTCTCTCTCTCTTTCTCTCTCTCTCTCTGTGTGTGTGTGTGTGTGTGTGTGTATAAAATGAATTGTTAACTTGTTTTTTTATTGTCAATTCTTTTCACTACAGAATCTGGAAATGCAACATGGGTCATTATTGGCTCTGGGATTCACAGTAGGACGGTATTTATCAAAAAGAAAAATGAAAATAGCAGAACTACATGGTATAGAAGACCGAAATACCATTGTAGCACCAGAACAAGACCAGCTGATCAAATCAACAACAGAAACTATAGGTCAGTCTGCACATTTGCACTTTCCCTGTATTCTTGGCCCATTTTGTTCATGGTAGTTTTGAAAAATTAAATTACTTTTGGACCACTGTGCTGCTTTACCTATCTCTTACTTGAAATCTTTATCATAAAACTCATACAACATAATAGTAATCTCAAATTCATCTTATTTTCATTGCTTAATGATGTGCTATTTGATTCACAACTCATTAAAAACAGATTTAACTAGTTGCAATTAATGTACTTGGCATTAAAAATAGATTTGTATTATCTGAGCATGAGCCTCTGGCAAAAAAAGGCACTTAAAGGGCTCCTATTTAATTAGCACTGAAGATGCTATCAAATGATAATGAAAGGTGAGATAAAATGTAGTGTGACTGAATAAAAAATTAAAATGAACTAGGATTATGCATATTAGAATAAAGTATCTTTGAGATTTTATACTTACTAATTCAAGACATCTTGAACTGTACTCGGATATGTTGCTCTGCGTGATGCAAAACTCTTGTTTTTTGTTGATACAAATGTTATAAATGCTGGGAATTTCTGCAAGTATTCATTTTCTCTGAAAAATATATTTCTCCCACCTGAGGCAGGTGTTCAGATGAATGCAAAAATTATTAATTTAAGTTTTAAGTTTGGCCTGAAAAAGGCATCAGGCTAGAAACAGAGACCATGAGTTCAAGTCCTGCATTAGCCATTTATGGACTAAGACCATCTTAAAGGCTGTTCCTTTGGGGTACAACCTGCTGGATTTTAAAGGGAAAAACACCAAGTAATCTTTCTACTTTTTACTAGGTTCTTTTTTGGATAGTACATCACCACTTCTAGCAATAGCTGCATGTACAGCACTGGGGGAAATTGGCAGGAATGCGCCTTTGCCCATCCCCAATGAAGGCAGTGGTTTTACAAAACTCCATCTTGTTGAAAGTTTACTGGCCAGAATTCCCTCTGGCAAAGAAAGTAATAAGGTAATGTTTTACAACATGGTTACAATTTTCCTGCGATTAAAAGATCTTTGAGCTTCATTCTTTACTTGTAGGTATTTCCCAGCCCAAACTAGGTAATATCATCAGTGCAGGAAAGGAATGGGGTTTGCTCTCACTTATATTCTAGTGCTCGGGTGTCAAACTCGTGGCATCACGTTGCCATCACATGATGTTTCACAATGTTTTTCCCATTCGCTGAGCTGGGGTGGGCGTGACCTACGCATGACGCATCTGGACCATGGGCTGCCAGTATGACACCCCTGTTCTAGTGGCTTACTGTGTTGGTGGAGTAGTCTTGGTGGGTTCTTTTTGGTTGGGTTGTTTACTGTTAGCTGGTTTGGCTGTTCTTTGACTGGGGTATTGTTTACTTCTTGATTGTTGATTTGATGTTAATCTTGGTATTAATTTATGTTCATCTGGATGTTTTTCTGATGGGGAAGTGTTTTATTTTTCTCATTTTAATCTAGCAGATTTTAAAATATCTCTCTTTCTAACTCTTCCTCCTCCTCCCTTCATGGTATTTTTAAGATGAAAGAAAGAGCTATTCAAACGCTGGGTTACTTTCCAGTGGGGGATGGAGATTTTCCTCATCAGAAGCTACTCTTGCAAGGATTAATGGATTCTGTAGAGGTAATTATTTAATTGTACTCTCGGAATATATATTTGAAGAAAGGGTTGCTTTTATTAATTCATGCCAGTTTCTTAAACTGTGTCCTTAAGGTTTTTTTGTTCCATTATTTTTCCCTGGTTATAAATGTTTGTAAAAGTTGAAAAAAAAAGTTTTTAATTTAGGAGAACAACACTAATGTCATCCAATGCATAATTATTCTTCATGGTTGTGCTACAGTGAGGAAGCATTGCTACCTTGAACAAGAGGTTTTTGTGGAACCTTCTATGCTTCTACATTTCCTGATAGGCAGAAGAAAAAATGTTCAGGCCTTGTGTGTCCTTTCCAGGAACTGATCAGTCCATTCTTTTGTATTCATTTAAATAATTTCCTCTTTTGTGCTGCAGAGTTTTGTTCCCATATGTCTTTCCTCCCATTTAAAATGGGAGGGGATGGATGGGTGGAATCAACATCCAAGGACCATTGGTTAAAATTGAAAGGGTGGGCTCTTTTAGTTTATGCATTTAAATAGTTTGTATGTCTGCCCTTCTCACAACAGTGATTCTGGCCAACATACAAATGTTAAAAACCAGCATTAAAACATTAACCCATGATTAAATGATCCAATCATCAAAAAACCATCAACGAGGCTAGTCTAACCTGCTTGCCTGAATGCCTGGGGAATTTTGTCGGTTTGGAGTGTCCCTGTGGTTATAATGGCTGAAAAGAAATAGCATGGTACCCTTCAATTTTTAGCTGGGAAATAGATGAAAATAATGCTATGAGACTTGAAATAATTTTGATTTAAATGCAGGAATGGTTTTTCAAATCAGCTGAAAATTCCATGGTAGAATTTGTAATGATGTATGCTATAATCTTCTTCCTTGTAATTAATGCAGCAAGTTTCTTACCTAGAAAATACAACTGGTTTTGATAAGTGAGCGAAGTGAAATTTAGTGTTGTTTTACTGTGTGTTTCTCAGGCCAAGCAAATTGAATTACAGTTTACGGTTGGTGAAGCTATTACCAGTGCTGCAATAGGGACCAGTTCCGTAGCTGCCCGTGATGCATGGATAGTAGCTGAAGAAGAGTATACTGCTCCTATTGGTAGGTTTGGCATAGGAATATCTAATAAGATATTTCAGAGAGCAATTTTATAAGAAAAAAAGCTGCTGTTGGTGAACAAATCCAGAATGACAGTTTTCTATTGACATTTTGCTTCCATTGTTATTCTGGCTTTTGAAAAGTCACTTAATATGGAACCTGCTTCAGCATAATTTTTGCACCTACAATTAGTTTTGTGCTTATCAGTGGTAATAGAATATAACTCAAGTCAAACTACAGCCTAAATTCCAAAATTAATCTAGTCTCTGTGATGACTTAGAAGGCAAATGCACACTTTATATCTCAGGGTAGTTTGTAATGGTTTTTCATCCATTGACATTAAATATTTATATACATTTTTCCAAGTAAACAAACTTCTAAAGCAGTTAACACAAACATTAAAACAAATATTCTAAAAGGCTAATAACAGCACCAATTTTTCTATTCAACCTGTCAGGCTTGAAACTATTCTGTTTGCATAATAAAAATAATCCTGTCATTTATTCCTCTTGTAAAGTCTGATATAATAGGCTCTGTACTGGATTGCTTTGGGAAACATTAGAGAAACCGATTAAAAAGAGAGAAAAAGAAAATATGACAAAATAATCCATATAGCCCTTAATTTTGCTTACCAAAAGATGCAACCGTAAACTGCAAAAATGTTGCATCTTTTGGTAAGCACAAGTGTACATGAACGTATCTGAAACTGAAACAAAGTCCAGAATTTATATGTAGAATATTTATAGGCTGAACCATGAATATTTAAAGTGAAAACATTGCTGACATGGCTCTGTTTCTCAAATCCTTTTGTTTGCATTATACTTAACTTCTTCTCTGCGATGGTTTTAATGTAACAGATGTGAAAATTAATGATGTGGTTCCCTGGGTCCTGGACGTCATTTTGAATAAGCATATCATAAGTCCCAACCCTCACATAAGACAAGCATCCTGTATTTGGCTTTTATCACTGGTGAAGAAGCTGAGTGCCCATAAAGAAATTAAGGTAGGAAGAAAAAAATTATGTCCCATTTTTGAGGTTGGGAGGGGAGATCTGATTTAGTTGACCTGTGATTTCATGGTGCATTCTTTTGTCCTCTTGCTTGTCTGTTTCTGAATTCTCATTTTTCTGCTTGGTCTGGAAGTGCACTTTCTGGGCAAAAGGGATACAGGTCCATTAACGGTGTGCTGTTTTTTCCAAAACTCATACCGTAGAAAAGTAGAAGAAATTTGTTTGAGTCTCACACTTTATTGTTTTGATAGTGAAGTTGCATGATTCCTGTATTAGCTTGGAAAAAAGTCTGCATGTTCTGACCTCTAATCATATTTCAAAGGATTATTACCACATCCTTCTACAGGGGATAACAGAAACTGACAATCTGTCATAGATTGTATTCCTTCAAGAATAAACCATCAGAGGCTTTGCACCAAATGTTGTTCTTCCCTGCTCACAGAGCAAGCCAGAAAAGGGCGAGTTATTCTTATTGGTGAGATTTTGAAGTTGTATTTCAGGTAACAGGTATAAGTTAAAATCTTCTTTTTTTCTTTCATAGTCACATCTCAAAGAGATTCAAACTGCATTTGTATCTACTTTGTCTGACAGTGATGGTAAGTAGGATCATACCTGCATTATTTTATTCATTGATTAAAAATGCAAATCCTTATTAGAAACAAAAGCGCTTAAGCTTACAGATATAGAAAAAAAGCTTTCAGTACAGAGATGTTATTATTTCAATTGTTACTTGCTCTAAAAACTCAGAAATTTGACATTGAAATTATGTAATACCAATGCATAGCATTATTATTTAAATGAAATTTTTAATCTAGAATTAGAATTCTTTTATTGACCAAGTGTGATTGGACACACAAGGAATTTGTCTTGGTGCAAATACTCTCAGTGTACATAAAAGAAAAGAAAAAATACATTTGTCAAGAGTCTAGTTGTGATTTTTTTAAAAACACATTTTTCTAAATAAAATGTTATTTTACAAAACTAAATATGAATTATTTTTGAACTTGATCCTGTACCTGTTTTTAATTGCATATAAAAATGAAATATGTTGCTCAGGCTGAATGCCACCAAGAAACCAAAGATTTGGTAGTATTAACAAAGACAGGAAACCAAATTGTAGGTTCTGAATAAATAGTGACTTTAATATAATTAATTCTAAACTTTTGTAAGCTTAATCTGGGAGGAAAAAAATATTGAGAGCTATTGACAGGTTGACTTCAAAAATTGATGCCAAGAAGTTCTGCAATGATTTCTATTTGATCTGAATTCTAGACTTAGTGAGGATTGAAACCAACGTATATGCTGTAAAGAACTTTACAGTACCACTGATTAATATAGCAAAATTGGAAGTATAGCTGAGAGGTTTTGTTTTTTCATTTAATCATTTAGGCTTTTAAAGTGCAACTGCTTTTCTCTCAAATAAGAACTTGCAGACCGCTGAACTATTTCAGACATTTTTAGTCTGACTGAGAATTGCTTACATGTTGCGATTTGAGAGTCTCAGAGGAAACTGCTTGTTATTCTTTCCTGAGGAGTTGGCTTTCTAGCATTAACTTTTCTGGCCTTGGTTTTAGGAGTTCTATTACTGCTGTGCGTTTGTGATATTTACATACTTTTGAATGGGTAAATGTAATTGAACTGGTATTGGCCTGGTTAATGTTTGGGCATGGAGACCCATATATAGATGTAACAATTGAGCATTTAATTTGCTTTTGGTTTCTTCTAGAACTCAGTCAAGATGTTGCTTCTAAAGGTCTTGGTTTGGTGTATGAGCTTGGAAATGAACAAGATCAACAGGAACTAGTTACTACACTTGTTGAAACTCTTATGACTGGGAAAAGGTATTTTAAAGAAACCTCAACTGATAGAATATGTATCAGGAGGCAGGGAATAATAAAAAGGGGGATTAAAAGTAAGTGAGTTTAAATATAAAACAAGTTTGGAGGAATGCTACATTATCCTAAGATGGAGGAATGCTTCAGAACATCTGAAGCCTTCTGTTCACATTTCCTATAAATTATCTTGAATCAATATGAGCTTTATTTTAAAATTCTGAAATAATACGATGTATTTGCTTTCCTCCTGCGTGGCAATCTATAGTTTGATCTCAGTATGTTATGTTTTGATCTATTTGGAACTTTTATCCTAAATACTTCAAGGAACAAAAAGCATCTTAGGATAGTGTGGAATGGGTTTGAAAAAGTAATAAAATCCCTTTATCTGTGCGGTGATGTGTTAATAATGTTTCTTGTAACATCTGTATAAGATTATATGTTCGGGTACTTAAATTAAGCCTATTTAAATGGGCAAAAATCCTGCCAGACATTTGTTAGTCTGAAAGAACAGTTTAATCCAGCCTCTTCTCCCTCCTTTTTACCAATATGAAATCAATTGAATAAATATTTCCAGTTATGATAAATTTAACAGAAGAGTCCCTATTATGCAAGACCCCCATTTGCAGTGGTGTTTCAAGAATCAGGGGAAAATGTTTTTCCCAAAATGCACACGTATCCTGTAATGAATCTTAACCCCTTCTTTTTCCAATTGATTTGGAAATGTACATTTGACATGTATAAATGAGGCAGAACCAAGAGGCTATATAATCTGATCCCAAAGAGATACAAAATTAATCTCCTTCACAAGCTTTCATATAATAGAACACTCTCGTTACAGAGTCAAGCATGAAGTGTCTGGGGAAACTGTGATGTTCCAAGGCTCAGGTCTTGGCAAAACTCCAGATGGGTAAGTTCATTGATTAATTGTGCTATTTGTGAGCCATTGTGTTACTTTAATCTATGGTATAGGTATCACTAGGGATCTACAAAGATGTTACATGTAATTCTTCATCAATCAGGGGTTGTTTTTTTAATTTTTTGTTTTGGAGATGTTTTCAAATCTCATAGAAGTTCAGTCCTAAACTCTCATGAGATTTTCTTAATTTCATATGATTTAAGCCTCTCTCTTTTTTTTAATATTGAAGTGCTTATGGGTAGCCGTTGGGAGTTTCTTGTCCAGTGCCACATTTGGTCCGTGATTCCTTCCAAACATTCCATTGAAGGTTGGGCTCCTCTACAGATACCAGTTCCTGAGACAGGGCTAGTGGTCAGTTTTATGGGGACTCATCATTCAAAGGCACTTAGTCCATCCTAGTAAATTGATTCTCTGAATTGCTCAAATGTTCCTTGAGCAGCGGGGAATGAGAAAGTCATGGAATATTTATACCATTGTAGCAAGTAACAAGAAGTGGGAAAATAAGGCTCTGCAGTGACGAGGGGCAAATGGGCATTGCCATTGGTGTCCTTTTTTCAAGTGGGGCATATTTTAACCAACCTACCCCCTTCAATTTTCCATACGGGAGCATAAAGAATAGAAGATGCTTCAAAAATGGGAAGGAACCATGTTTGCAGCCCTGGCATTTAAGTAGTGGTATCTAAGCAAAAGAAGACAACTATGAAGTTTGTCAGGCATACCAGTGTCCAAGTTAAGTAGAGAACAGGTTAGGGAAGTATGATGCACCAGCCTTTTCATACATGTCACCAAAGCCCCTGTTCCCATTTGTTATGGCTGAAGCCCAGCACAACATTGTTTGGAATATAGTTCTGTTAAATCACAGCTTAGCTGGAACTGTTCACCAGAACTTCCGAGGCATTAAAAAACAACAACCATTTGTTCCATTTTGTGCACTCACCTGTTAAGCATTGTGTCCAAAGAGCAAATGTCTCCTGATGGGAACTGTGATCCTCTGTCTTTTGTAGCAGAGCATGAACTAGAGAGGCAGCAAAGGTGAACCCAAAAAGTGAATGGAAAGCCTTATCACTTTTACATTTAGATCTGTACAGAAGCCTAAAAAAACAAAGAGGGAACACAGACTAAAGTCTTGCTTCTAATTGTATGGTCGTACTAATTCTGAAATATAGTGGTTTGCTTATTAGATGTTACAGAATATGGGATGGTTTCTGTTTTAATGGGGAAGATTTTTTAATTATTGCATAACCGTCTTAACAAATTTAGTTTAAATCTATATTTAAAATATTATTTTGACCCCCATCTCTAAGTATCCCCTTACAATTGTTTGAGCAAAATGGGACATGTAAGAAGTAGCATTAATCATTTGTTTCTGTTTTTCCCAAGCCAGGGTCTTTCTACTTACCAGGAGCTTTGTTCACTTGCAAGTGACCTCAACCAGCCGGATTTGGTGTATAAATTCATGAATTTGGCCAATCATCATGCAATGTGGAATTCTCGGAAGGTATTTGCATGTAGTTGGGATGGTAGAACATTAGAATTAAAAACAAAAAACCCTATGTCTATGTCTGGATAACTTTGAAAGACTATGTCTTCTATTCTGAATTCTGATCTGAAGCTCAACATTATGAGTAATTGGGATGAATCAGTTACAGCGGGAGCGTTATATATAGAAGAGCTATTGATTCATATACAAAATACATAATGTTCATTTTATTAGCGTTGAATATTTTCTGTCTCTTACCAGAAACCTGAATGAACGTAAATGGGACACCTAAGTGGTATTTAACCATTTTTTCCCCCTTGGTTTTCCCAGGGAGCAGCTTTTGGTTTTAATGTGATTGCTACCAAAGCTGGGGAACAGCTGGCTCCTTTTCTTCCTCAACTGCTTCCTCGTCTCTATCGATATCAGTTTGATCCCAATCTGGGGATTCGACAGGCTATGACCAGCATTTGGAATGCACTTGTTACAGACAAATCTGCTGTAAGTGAACACAGAATAATTATGTCCCAATGTCGTCACTTTTTTCCATTGAGCAGTCACAACTTAAAGTTAGAGAGAGAGAGAGAGAACATACACATACACACGTTCCTATATTATATACAATATGTATATTGTTTATATGAAAATAGTAAATACATTTGAAGAAGCCTAAGTCTTTCTGAACTAAGTTCCTGCTTGCATTAAGAATTACAGTCAAAAATATTGTTTTGATTATCTATTTATCTATCTTTTAAAAAATGTGATGTATGTGAATATGTAACTACTGTAGTGTGAGAACATATGATTAGTAGTATTTTTTTTTCTTTTCTGTTTATAGTAGAATGATTTTATTATATAGAGAGGTTTACCTTCTTTACCACATAGAGCAAAATCCACATAGTAAAATCACTATGTCAGAATGACCTGAATTAAGCTATCATATTAGCCCATTTTGATATCTTCTTCTTGAGCTGTTTCTGAATGATGATATATATACAAAGCAGGAAAATGCTTTAAAAATAATCTTTCTTGCATTAAATTTCTATTTTATTGTAGTTTATTGTTGAGTTAGAGGAAATTATTGCTATAAATGTTCAATTTCTTCACTCTTTTGGGTGTGGGAATGCTTTTAATAGTTAAAACTGTTTTCTATTGGTTCAGGTGGACAAATACATGAAAGAAATTCTTGATGATTTAATAAGCAATCTGACTAGCAATATGTGGCGAATTCGAGAGTCAAGGTATGCATTTTTAAAATCAGTTCCTTATTTAAATTAAAATAATTGGTGTTTTGAAAATCCATACTTACTTGTATATTTCCTCTAAATTGGATTTTCAGGATTTATTTATGTAATTCTGTCAGTTATGTGAGTTGTACATTTGGGGGCTGGGTGGCACATTTTGCAATTTTGGAGTACAAATATTTGGAAACAAGTCATACAAGTTAGCAGGAAGACTTAATTATGAAAAAAGATGCATAAATTTTTGTTTGTTTTCTACTATATGATTTAAGTTGATATAACCTGTACTAAATAATTATATCTCTGGAACTTTTTTTGACATTGATGCAAAGTACCATTAGGAACTTTGTAGAATACCACCCATGATATTTAGTTAAGAGGGGAATTGTATATAAATACTTGTGCTAAACTATAGCAAATAAGCCTTGTCTTTGCATGCACACTCCTACATAGCCTAGTTTTCAGTTCTGCTGTGAGCATGAGCAAGAAAATACTGTGTTGTAGAACTAAGTGAATTGTGGTTATTATTAAATATGGTTTGTTTAAAACAGGTTAACTTAAACTATTGAGAATTGTTATAGATCAGGTCTGTCAAACTTGCGGGCTGTGGGCCAAATGCGTCACACGCTGACCACGCCCATGCCCGGTTTAGCGAAGGGGAAAAAAGTCCCAATACATCATGTGATGTTGCCGTGACGACATGAGTTTAACACCCCTATTATAGATGAAGACATAACCACATAAAGTGTTTCCTTAGAAATAGAGAACTAATTATTGTAAGATTGCAGTTTGTTTTTTAAAAAGGGAGCTTGAAAAGGGGGTTTAATTCTACTTTAAGAAATTTAAATGTACAGGCATTACTGTCTGGCAGTTCTGTTAGTTCTTCTATATTTTTAAATAATTTACATGTTTAGGGAAACTTGAATTTGTTTTATTTTATTGAAACTTCATATTAGTGAAGAATGGTAATTAGAACTCTTTCCACAGCTGTTTAGCACTGAATGACTTGCTAAGAGGAAGACCTTTGGATGAGATTATTCATAAACTTCCAGAAATATGGGAAACACTCTTTAGAGTGCAAGATGATATAAAGGTACTAAAAAGGTTCATGTTCTAATATTGGAAAATTACTATAATCATTGCAGGCAAAGAAGAGCTCAGATCCAAAAATGCCTCTATGCTTCCTCTGGTGTTATGCTGGGAATTCCCAGAACTCAACATCCCTAATGATAAAACACACATTTGTGGTCCATTTTGGTTTTCAGCCTTCATGGCAAAAATATCTGAGCTTTATGAATAAAGCGGAAATACTTAGAATAGAAAATGACTGTTCAACCACCTTTGTTTGAAAAAGAGATTTACATTTTGTTGAAAATATATACCATCAAGGCAAAATTACTCCATTAATAGTGTCTGAAATTAAAATTGGAAACTTACAAGTTTTCTTTTCCCCTCCCCTCCTTTTCTTTTTCAGGAATCTGTACGAAAGGCGGCAGAGTTAGCCCTGAAAACATTAAGTAAGGTACATTCTCATAATCACTTTAATAACTTCAAGAATTTTACATCATTCTGTGACTCAGTTTGAACCAAAACGTAAAGAATATCTTCAGAATATCTGTGCTCATAATGGATCCCATTTTCCATCTGCATGTTGTTGTTGTTTGTTTTAAGGTGTGTGTGAAGATGTGCGACCCATCTAAAGGAGTTGCAGGCCAGAAAACCATAGCCGTACTTTTGCCATGTCTTCTTGATAAAGGAATGATGAATACGGTGACTGAAGTGCGGACACTGAGGTACCTTATCCTTACATTTTTTTCCCTTTCTTTTCACATTTCCAAATCTCATAGCCAGAAACTATTTCAGCAGGACTTTACCCATCATTCTTTCACTTCTTAGCTGAAATAAAATAAAAGAATCCAAGGAATATTTTTTACAATAAATGATGATTTCTAGATTCCCCTATGGTAGTATCCCATGAGTTGCTTAAGCATATGATTCTAATTGAATCATAGTTGGCTGGCCTTGCACCACCCAGTAAACTGTTTACCATAATTTATGAGCCAAGGAAACTCAATGTAGAACATATGCTTAATTATATGCATAATGTGCACCACTTAAGCTTTGGTGGGAAAATCATGATTGCACCAATTAAAAAGTCCCACAGTTGCTGTAACCAGCTGTAGAAAGAGCCAGTCCAACCTGCTATAAATACAACCACTGAAATTAGAGTTTTTGATGATAGGGACATTTATGGCCCAGAAAGTACATAATATAAGCTCCCTGGGAATTTGCAGCATTTCATTTATTTTTTGAACTACTTTGTTTTTTAGCGAATGGAAATTAAATTTGGTAGCAGATTGTTTTCTGACACCTAAACAGTATTCATTATGTGGTTGCATGGATTACTACTAGTGAAGAAGAATGCAAATGTGCTTGTCTTCCACATTTTTATTTATAGCATTAATACCCTGGTGAAGATCAGTAAAAGCGCTGGGGCCATGCTGAAACCACATGCACCAAAGCTCATCCCAGCTTTGTTGGAATCCCTGAGTGTTTTGGAGCCCCAGGTCCTCAATTATTTGAGCCTGCGTGCTACAGAGCAAGAAAAGGTAAGGGCACTATTAAATAAAAAGGTTTCTCATTTATAAAAAAAAGCATTATCTAATCTAGATTAAAGGGTGTCTAGCAGAGAAGGGAATGATATTAGTTACATCATCAATTATTTTCATACAGTTGAGATATCCACGTGATATTTTTAATTAAAATTCAAAGTAAATAAGATAAGTTAGTTAACTTAATTTGTATACACTAAGTAAAATATTGTTTGAATTTAAAAATTTCATGAGAATTATTGCTCTTTCTTTTTTAAGGAATCTGTCTTTTCAATTGCTCTTAACAAAATATTGCTTGCTACTATGCATCCACATGGGCCTTCCGTTTTCTCTTGTCACCTTTTAAACTCTAGATTTTAATCCATTTTTCTTTTCTTTTTTTAAATCACTAAGGCTGCAATGGATACTGCAAGACTGAGTGCTGCTAAATCCTCCCCAATGATGGAAACTATAAATATGGTAATAATTGGCTTTAAGAAAAGTTTTACATAACCTGTCCAAAAAAGATTGCAAATAATAATGAAATTCCTCTGGTTATAATTGATAGCAAAATATTGGTATTTCTAATTATTTCATTTAGTAAAGGAAAGCTGGTGTTAACAGCAGGAAGTTATTCACTTCTAACAATGTCTTGATCAATAACCAAGAAGACAAGATTCACAAAATTGTTTCATGAGCTTTTAAAACAGGCTAGCCTTCCTGCCATAACAAGGATGCAAATCAAGTAAGGGGTACAATAGCCCTGAACACTCAGCACCTCTCCCTCCCCCTGCACACTCACATATGCACAGTCATACAAAGGAAATAAAATAGTGGTTATTGTTTCTATTTTTACAATAAGCTACACTTTGAAAAAGGATGGCAAAGCAGCCGTTGATAGAAACAAAAACATTTCTGCAAAGAAAGTACTGGATTAAAAGTGGATGTATTTTTAGTTGCTCCTGCTCCAAACAGTTGGTCTTCCAGCAGAATGTTAATAAGCAGCTTGTGAGCAACAGTCCAGTAATCTCTTTTGTTGTATTAATCTCTTTGGATGTTTTGATTTTCTTTTGATTTTGTTTCTCCAGTGCTTGCAGTATTTGGATGTGTCTGTTTTGGGAGAGCTGATTCCTAGGCTCTGTGAACTGACTAGAAGTGGATTAGGCATTGGCACTAAGGTATGCTTATGCTTAGGAAAGAAGGGTTTTGCAGGAAAGTTGGGAATGCTAAGCTCATATTGACATTTGCATAGCCCCCCACATATATCTCTCTATTTGCGTAATTATAAGTATATAATGATTTTATCCTGTGATGTAAGTGAATGCAGTTTGGGAGACCTATCCAGAGATGGGATATTAGAAAATTCAGGAGAGAAAGTCAGGAAAAGATGGCAAATTCGGGAGACAAAGGAAAGAATGGTAGGGTTATGTTTTATGCCAGGGGTATCAATCTCAATTTCATTGAGGACCACATCAGGGTTGTGTTTAACCGCAGGGGGAGCAGCTCAACATTGCTCATGTCGGGGGGCCCTGTGATGTCCCAATAACAGATGCCAGCGAAAACGGAGTTCGGGAGGTCCTTGCATTCCATTTTCATGGGCAGAGGCACCGCGGGCTGGTACTTTGCTATTTCCAGGGTAGGCCAGATCTAAGCACCCCGTGGGCTGGATCCAGCCTTGAGTTTGACACCCCTGTTATATTTAGTAGGTGATGCAATTATATCGGATCAATTATGTCTTCCCTGGCAGTGCCATTGGTGGTATGCTGTGAGGGCTTTGCCATTGCCATTCTACTGAGATTAACACTGACTATGAATATGAGGAAGTCTTAGTGCTTAGGAGAAAGATATTTGGGAGGGGCAGATAACATTGGGGCAATTCAGCTAACTTAGCATTTTTAGATGTTCTGCACTTGTAGATCCTGCCAATAAAATTCAATAATGAATAATATGGTGGATATTTCCTTGTTATTCATACTGTCAGAATTCTGACTAGCGGTCTTATTCGCTACATAGGTAGCCCTCATTTACCGACTGGCAACTCGGTTGCTAAGCCATGCCATGGTGAAGTGAAAAATCACATAACTGTGCCTGTCTTACGATATTACTTTGTCAGGCATGGACGTGGTTGTTCAGTGAATCACATTGGGTCATTAAGCACGATGCCGTGTGATCACGCTTGCAACTTCCTGTCAGCTTCCACAACAAAAACAGCTAGGAAAGCTGCAGATGTTGATCATGTAATCGTGGAATGCTGTGACTGTTGTAAATGCACAGCAGTTGGCAAGCACCCCTAATCGCAGTCACATGACTGTGGGGATGTTCCAATGGCCAGAACTTTGAGGACTAGTCATAAGTCTTTTTTTCAGCACCTTTGTAATTTTGAATGCTTGCTATGTCAGTAAGTGAGGACTACCTGTATTCATTCAAAGTAGGCATCACTGAATTCAGTGGGGCTTGTTTCTAAGTAAACGTGCAGACATAAGCTTCCTTTTCACCCAGAAAAATAAACTAATCTCTGCCTTTCCTATTTTTACTCTTTTTAGGGTGGTTGTGCTAGTGTAATTGTGTCACTAACTACTCAGTGCCCACAAGATTTGACACCATATGCTGGTAAGTTTTAGAGCCATATTTTCTTCCTTGTAAACCTCGGCTGATTTACTCTTTTTCTTTCTTTCCACTTTGTGAATAAACCCCCAAAACATTACTAACCCACAAAAGATTTTCTTAATCTGACTTAAGGGTTTTGAATTTCTGTTTGAATGCAATAACATAATTATTATTGTTTAAAAAAACAAATGTTCAACAAAGTGGTGAACGAAGGATAGATTACTACTCCTCCCATTAGAGGAGAGAGACAGAGGAAGCCTTTCCCATTACATGGATTTGTCAGCACAAAGCCAGAAATCAATTCCTACAGTCAACAATGATCCCTTTATTCAAACTAATGGTTACAAATCAGTACTGTATGGAAACTTACTTGAGGAAAATTACGTTATAGTATTGGTAATCTGCCACTATATTTTGTTTATTTTGAGCCATCAAGTGTGTTATAGCTGGTCGGAGTAGTTCTGTAGTACATTACACCACATCTTTTTTATTATATTAATTATATCAGAAGGTTTGGGAATTGACTTTCTACTTGTTTGTACAGAAACTTACAGTTGATTGCTAAAATAATTTCTTCTCTTACCTAGGTAAGCTCATGAGTGCTTTACTTAGTGGCCTAACTGATCGCAATAGTGTGGTGCAGAAGAGCTTTGCATTTGCCTTGGGACATTTAGTTAGAGTAAGTCATGCTTCCTCAGTTTCGAGATTTTTCTATCTGGTTTTGTGAGTTCAGAAGTGACATGAGTTTTTCTGGGTTTTATTTTAAGACTTCACGAGACAGCAGCACTGACAAATTGCTCCAGAAGCTGAACAGTTGGTACATGGAGAAAGAAGGTATGCGCTTAAGATAAATATTTTTAAAAAGTTGTAGCATGTTAAATATTTTTGAAATGGTTCATTCCTAGAAGCATATGTAATGAGTATGACATTGCTATTACTTTTATTTTAAAATGCAACCTGGATAGTTTGAGAATTGCTTTTTTGTTTTTGTTTTTTTTGCTAAGCATGCTTACTGAACACCTTTTTCTATACTAAAATGCCTTTGGTACAGTGTTTGAGAGAAAATGCTTATGTAAAATTCATTCAGAAGTTTTGCTATTTAAAAACTTTTACATTACTTGAGTATGACTCACTTTAAAATCTCTGAAAAGCCAACTATCTTCTTACATAAGCAACTGGTGTTGATTTTACACCAGTTAAATCAGTTAGCTCAGCCCTAAACTCACTAAATTGTGTTTTTCCAGCTGTCTGTATCAAAGTTATCAAAATAATTTGATTTCATTTGTGAGACTCTTTTGTTCCTTAATTGAATATGCTGAAAATATGAATAATGTAGGTAGTTCTCAAGGTAGGACCATTGTAGCATTCCCGCAGTCATCTGATCAAAATTTAGGTGCTTACAGCCTGTCCATATTTACAACTACAAGGGTGCTTCAATTCACCCCATCCACCTACCTCTCCCTTTTGCCAACCCTACATAACTGCACTCTGGCATCACCCTTGGAGCTGAAGTAGAGATCTTCAGCAGTGTTACCTGGCTACCATTGATCTAAGCCTCTACTTCAGTCCTACTGCAGCCAGCCAAAGAGTGTTTCCTCAAGCCCCATGTCATGGTTAAAAAAACCCTCACTATCCCATGCTCCACAAGCCCTGTTGCACCCAGCTGACCCTCAACAGCTTCCAACCACTGACAAAGTATGCCCAACCTGGCCCTATAAGAGGCAGTTGCTGGCTACTCCAGGCCTTCTTCATGAGATTGCTTGCACCGTCGTCCAAATACCGCATCCTGTTCTTACGATGTTTCAGAAGGCCTCAGAAGCTTTCCTATCTCTTCCCCCATATTTGCCTTTTCACCCACCTGATACAGTGGCAGTCCTCAATGGCAGTAGGGGCACTGGCAGAAGGTTACGCCTAGGGACACTGGTGACTGCTGAAGGCCTTTGGGTTTTATTTCAGCCCTAGCACTGCCGCTGAGAAGGGCTGCTTTGTAGGGTGGCCAAAAGGGCAGAGATGAGGAGAAATACATGGGTGTGGGGGGAGTTCAAGAGAAAGCGGTCCTTTATCTCAGGGGTCCTCAACCCCTGAAACGCAGGCCGGTACCAGTCCATGGCCTGTTAAGAACCAGGCCACGTAAGTGGTGGACAAGCAACTGAAGCTTCATCTGTGCATGCGTGGGATCTAGATTGTGCATGAAACCACTACAGCCCTGGTCTGTGGAAAAATTGTATTCCACAGAACCAGCCTCTTGTTCTAGAAAGGTTGGGGACCACTACTTTACCTTACTAAAGCTCAGGGCTGGGAAAGACCAAGCCAGGAATCACTTGGATTAGGAAGAGTCCTCACCTAATGACCAATAGAATTTTGCTAACGATTGCAATGGGGACTGCTGGGATTGGCATCACTAAGTGATGTGGTCATGTCATATTTCACCTAACTACTGCATCAGTTAGTGATCAAAATTTGAGTCATAATTAGTATTACAGCTAGACAGTTTGCAAAATAATAATTGCCACAGTTTTATATTTGTTTTGACTTTCTGTTCAACACTGCAGCAAAAAGAGAAGAAGCATTTCCTATTTTTTCCCCCCAAGTAATTTTATTTGAGAATAAGCAAAAATAATGTGGATTCTACTTCATTTGCAGCAAAAGCATAGAGCCTACAATTCCTGAACTCTAGACCATGGCCCTAGAGCCCTTCAAAATGTTGCTGTTTATTTTTAATGTAACAGAAGGAAAGAAGCTTTAAATCTGTAGGGAATAATTATATTACTATTATTTAATTGGGTTTTTATATTGGTTTGTTTATTTATTTTATTTATTTAATTGGTTATTTAAATGTTATTGCAGGGAAATTTAATTTTTGTTTTTGTCTTACTCACTTTTTGGAACATGATTCTTGCTACACCATTTGAAGGACCAACCAGTGTAATTCTCCACCTAGTAAAAGTTATACATCTTTGATTTATAGATTTGGAAGTCTATATCCTGTGTTATCTAAATGACCAGAACTTTGAATAATGTTTTGAGCATCACTAGAAAGTAGAACCCTGAGCCTCCTGTGCTGCAATGAAAGCAAGGAGTCATGTTTCTCTCACTGTGTTTGTTTGTTTTTTTGTTATTATTATTTTAGAGCCAGTCTATAAAATGGCCTGTGCTTTAACTATGCATGCTATTGGACGCTACAGCCCAGATGTACTGAAGAATCAAGCCAAGTGTGTTTTGCCTCTGGCTTTTCTGGGCATGCATGAAGTTCCTGAAGAAGACAAGGGGGAGAAGGAAGAAGGCAACCTGTGGTCTGAAGTGTGGCAGGAAAATGTACCTGGTAAGTGATTTTCACTACCCTGACCACTTTATTACTATGAAAACCCAAAATACAAATCCTAAAATAAAATATTCACCTTGGTCTCTGAAAGATGGAGATTATGCAAAATCCTCCTCCATTTTATTATTTATTTTCCCCCCTCAAAGCCCCCTCCCCAAACAGATATCCCCATGTCATTGTGAGTTGTTGTTGTTTAATTTTAGTTATGCTCAGACTTTCTTTCTCCAAGTACAATTTGAACTGGGACTTTTTGCCTGTTTATTTAATTATTAAATTAATTTCATTTATATCCTATCTTTTCCTCTTAAAAGCCAAAATATATATTCTTGTTAATTTTAATGTACTTACTGTTTTACTCTTTTATATTATAGTTTTATCAGATTGCAAATTACCCAGAATTGTATGATAGTGAGATTAGCAACAAATAAATTAAATAAATATGGGTCAACTCTGGTTTTATCCGCATAATAATGACCTTGTGGGGTATGTTGGTATGAGACAAAATGGCTGGCTCAAAGTCCCAGTGAATTCACTTTACATACTGAACCCTTTAATCTCCGTCTTAGTTGCAATCCAACACTCAAAGGATCATGCTGGCTCAGGCCTTTTAACTTTTCCTAAAGCAGGAACCAATGTACCAGGCTATCTCTCAATATGTATTAGAGGCTTTATCCCTAAGCTTTCTACCAGTAGTTTTTGGTTAACGACCACTTCTTTGGCAGCTGTTCAATGTTGCTGTTGAACACGTGTTACTTAGGACCAGTCATCAAAATTCTGGCCGTTGCAGCACCCCCGCAGTCACGTGATCACAACCTGGGCACTTGACAACTGGCTCTTGACAATGATGACAGCTGCAGTGTCCCATCATCACCATTTGCAACTTTCCCTGCCGGCTTTACAAACGCAAAGTCAGTGGGGAAGCCAGCAGGGGAGGTTAGGCTGCAAGTTACTCCCACCACTTGTTCCCCCAAGGAGCCCTGATGCAGATTATGAGATCCCAGGCAAACCCTCCCCTGCCATGGTGCAGATATGGTATTCAGCAGGTTCTGACCAGTTCTGGAGAACCAGTAGCAGAAAATTTGAGTACCTTGGAGAACCGGCTAATATCCCCTCTGACTGGAGATTTTACAGTATCCTTCCCCTGCCACGCCCACCAAGCTACACCCACAGAACCGGTAGTAAAAAAATTTGAATCCCACCACTGCAATGGTGCCCTTGCATGGTGCCACAGTGCCCACTCACAGGGCAGCAGCACCCTTCCTCAGCCCTCATGCCCTCACATGGTGCAGCAGCACTCTTTCTCTCACTCCAACCTGCATACACTCTACTCGCCCTAGCAAAGCAGCACTCTCCCATGCCTTACTCCCTGGTAGGCCCCTGTCCTCCAGCCTGCTTCCCCATTAATAATCCTCAGTCCTTGCTTAATGATGGCAATAGGAACTTCCAGGATTGCCACCGCTACGTTCCACAGCCACGTGACCTCACACTTTTTTAACCACGTCCCTTAGCGTTAAAAATCCCAGGCCCAATTGCCACTGTTAAGTAAAGGACTACCCATATTAATATCCGTCCGCGGTGGTGGTTCTCTTATGCATTCTAGCAAGCACTGTGTGTCTTGAATCATAGGTACCTACGGTGGCATTAGGCTCTATATGGAGGAATTGATTACAGTAACCCAGAAAGCTTTGCAGTCTCCGTCCTGGAAGATGAAAGCGCAAGGAGCGGCTACCATGGCATCCATAGCAAAGCAGACTGGCGCTCTGGTACCTCCACACTTAGGCATGGTGCTCACGGCACTGTTGCAAGGACTGCCTGGAAGAACATGGGCTGGAAAGGTAAAAAGCACTGACCGATGCAGTGGGTTGTTTCATGGTTTAGAAATGGGCCTTTTTAAAAAATGCTGCAATTCTTTGGCCGAACGGCTTTTATTTTATAAACTATCCAGAAGTCACTTAGGTGAGATGGGAGGTATATACATTTGATAAATGAATAAAATTTGCCTGATGTTGTCAAATAAACTCTAATTTGCTGGGGGGGGTATACATTTGTGAGTTTAATGGATCTGTGTTTGCAGAATCACTGATATGCTAGTTCGTGTTTGATTTTAAAATGAAATTCTGTGAGGCCAATTGGTGAAGAACAAATTTACCATAGAAGGAATAGCTGCTTGGTATTAGAGTGACATAAGTCGAGCTGCGTTGGCTCTGCTGTCCTGTATATATATTTTGTTCTTTCAGATCTTTTGCCCAACTGGGATATCATTATAATTCACAACCAAATGTTCATACAAGATGTAACTTGCATATTTGACAAGGCATTTGTAAATTTTTGTGGGGACAATATAGAAGTCACATACTAAAATGTATCTCTTACGTTGTTTATAATGTTTTTAGGAAGAGCTGTTAAAAGCAATTGCCAGTGTCGTCTGTTCATGCAGGTAAAAATATTTTCATTTCTTTGTCTGAAAGTTCTTCTCTGTATAAACAGTTTGGGGTGAGATGAATTTCCTCACTGATTCCTGGAAAAGTACTGGGGACTTTAGGTACTACTACTACAGTCTGTTACTTCCTAAAAATATTGTGGAAGTATTTTTAAAATTATTTCAAAAGAAGTGAACTAGAAGATTTTTAGTAATTGATAGGACAAATGAAAATGAAATTGAGTATGATGTAGTGGTTAACTGGGAGACCAATGAGTCCATAATCCTACCTTAGGCACAAACCCAACTGGGTTCCTCTCTCCCAGCCCTAGGAAGGAAGCAGTGGCAAACCACTTCCAAAGCCCCCTTCAAGAAAACTGAAAGGACTTCTTCAGTCAAATCCAAAGAATCAAAAACTGACTCTTAAGCATCCCTCTCCCCGCTTTGGATATTAAATAAAAAGGATGAATGAGGGAATGTATCTGCAAGTAAATCTGTTGCAATAAAACACTTTGCAAGATTTGTCCCAACGTTCACTGCTAATTCCACAGTAAATGTGTGTTTGGATTATTTCACTTTGTACTCAAAACAAAATATTGCCCTACAGATCTTTGTGCCAGTGGACGCACACTTTTTAGCACATTTCATTCTAGTTATTCTTTCACACCTTTCCCCCCTTTTTTCTCCCAATGTCAATATACTAGTGATTTTTTTTTTTTTTTTTTTGCTGCTGATCAAATTATTTCTCCTGTTTTTTGGACTTTTCCCTTAAGATATTTTTTTCCTGAAAATTATAGTAAAGGAAATATTAGTTGTTAAAAATCAATGCTGCTTTTCCTTTGGGCTTGATGGTGCAGTTGTGGGATATGAATTGGAAAAAATATCTAGTTGCTGAGTATACATGGGTATAAATGAAATATGGAGAAGCTTTTCTTCATTAGAAGAAGAATAAAATTGCAAACTGTATGATTTCCAGCTGTTTTTTTCCCCTCAAAAATTCAAAGCATTTTACGATAAAATAAAATGCCAAGTTATCTATACAGTCATATGTCAGGTTTTACTTACCTAGAGCGAAGGAAATGTGCACATTTTTCAAGATATATACTTAGGTTGAGCTAAATTAAGAGGCTCGGTGTAATATCAAGGAGACACACTGATCAGTCATGTCCTGTTCATCCTTTAATGATTTTAGTGTGGAACTGCGCAAGCCTTTGCCCAACCAGCCCAGTGTTGATGATGTCGTACAGGCAATGCTGAAAGAATGCCGCAAAGAAAACCTACGGTACAAGATCGTGGCACTCCGGTGTATGGCTGATGTGCTTAAGGCTACCCAAGAAAATAGGTTCCAGGAATTGACAGACATAATCTTTCCAGTAATAAAGAAGGTGATCTTTTAGCCCTCTTTAGATTTGAATAATAGCATCGCTAAAAATAGAACATTTTTTTGAATTGGTACTTCTGGGAATTGTTCTCTGTAATCCATATAAAAACCTTTGTAAATCTGGCTGAGATTAATTTATATGTTGTGAAAAGAGGAGAGGACATCTCAAGCTGAACCAGGCTGAACTAATAAGATTCCTCCATTGAGGTCAAAGCAGAAACACAACTTAGTTTGCTGCTCATTCTTGCTTTTTACTATGTTCAGTCAGACCAAAGAAGAACTAACAATCTCCTTAGAATTTTTTATACTAATAATTTATAGCATTACCAGCTGGTGCTATGATGATATATGTCACAGTGGTTAGAATGCAGTAGTACAGGCCAATTCTGACAACTGCCAACAGTTCGATCCTGACTGGCTCAAAGTTGACTCAGCCTTCCTTCCTTCCGAGGTCAGTAAAATAAGGACCCAGATTGTTGGGGCAATTATGCTGACTCTATAAATCATTTAGAGAGGCTATAAAGCACTGTGAGGCAGTATACTAAGTGCTATTGCTATTTAGCAGAAAGGCCTCATATGAACTTCCTGCTAACTGGAGGAAGCCAGAAATTGTTAATGCCTTTGTACTTCTTGTTTTTGAAGAAGAGCGTCTCAATCCTATATCTTTCTTTGGAGAACAATCAATTGAATTCCTCCCCCCCCCCCCTTTATAACTCTCACCTTCCTCTTTGAAGGATGCTGCTTTCAAATGGGTTACAAGTCCTTAATAAAGATAGGGCAGATGTCAGCTAATATCAGCTAATGCACCTGTAGCAGAAGGGCTGTTTTCAACTTTCTTAATCACTTAGGTTTTGGGGATACTTCTATCTTAGTAGAGTTCCATAAAATTTTATTTTTTAATACATTGACTACTAGTTTTTTAATTTCTTTTACTGACTTTCTTCTCAGTGAAGGTAATTGAGAGTCTAAAATTGTAAAAACATTTTGTGAAGTGTACATTATCTTGGGATCTGTCTGTTTATGAGGCAAGTATGGCTAGAGCGACTTCTTGGCTGAACTGTGAGATTAAAGAAATGGTCCCTGCCATCAACTATTGGATTTAAATCATTATTATATCAGTATGCCAATTAAATTTTGCAAGTTTGATCTCCTGCAGTACAGATGCCATGATTAGCTTTCATGTAAATAAAATGTTTTACATTTCAGTATATCACTCTGAATTCTTTGTTACTAACAAAATGTAAAATAATTTAATCAAACTGCTGACATGATGGTTGTAAAAAAGAGAAGTATAAAAGCTAAACCGTCTTTTTTTTTTCTTGTGCTTGCTTTTTCCCTTTCAAATTTCACACCCTCTGATTGCATTGCAGAATTGTCCTGAGAATGTAGGAAAAAATTCCTCACACAACGATGATGAGGATGAAAACGAAAATGAGAAAGAACTCCAAGTTGAAGCTCTCCTCTGTGCCTTTGAAAGCTTAGGCAAAGCCTGGCCTAAAAACTCAGACACACAGTGTAGGTCTAATTCCAGTAATTTGAACTATTTTATCTTTAGTTTTTGTAAGAGCTCTTAGGAGAGGAAGGGCATAATTTCATTGTATTGTTGGTTTTGTTGCAGTTCTTTTGCTTTGTATTTTTTAAGGTTAACTTTCTTAACGTCTTATGATTTAGCAATATAAGGATTGTAATAAGTGGGATGAGCAGTTTTTTAAATTTCAGAAAAGCAGCAGCAAAAAGGGAAAGATTAGAAACTGACTATTTTAAGGGAGAAGGTCAATTTTGTCCTTTGTTCTTAGGTTCCTGTTCCTTAGTTTTCTTTGAAGCTATATTTATTTAAGCTACTGGGAACAATAAATCTGCTTGGAAAATAATATGAAGATTCATTTGGGAGATTGCCCTCTAGAACATAGATGGGTGGCAAGGATGAGGGACTGAGAAAATGGAAGTCAGAAGAGGAGGCAACCAACACCCAGAACGCATGGCTGTTCTGACAGGAAAGTGAGTCTGGCTGCTGTCCCCCTTAACAAACCAGGTGCCATTATCAGATCTTCTAAGGCTTCCCTGTAACTGAGCATTGAGAGTTGTTCTATATTTTGATCTCTCTCTTTTTTTTAAAAGGCTGCTATCGACAAGAGCTATGCAGATTAATGTGTGAGCGTCTGAGACTTGGTACGTGGAAAGTACAGCTCGGCGTTCTCCAAGCTATGAAGGCTTTTTTCCAAGGGTAAGTTTCCTGCGGATGCTGGAGCTGCTGCTTCTGTTCTGGTTCATTTACTCCTCCCTCACAGTAGCATGTGGAGAGGAACAGATTCAAAATCCTTTGCCTGAGCTTTGTGGATCTCATTGCCCCTTCTCCCTACCTACTTCCACTGACTGGCATGTTTTAAGTAAGGAGCAATGAATGTGGAATTGAAATTTCAAGCTCCACAAGGCTCACCCGATAACTGAGTGTGCAGCATCTTTGGTATTTACAATTGCCACATGGAAGGCTTCAGATGAGTGCATTCCTCCCTCAGGTGGAATTTTAAGATGTGTTCTTTGGGGGCGGAAAATGATGCCTATATTCTTCCATTTGATAGGTTGTTGTTATTTGAAGCAGAACACTCTGACCCCGAGGCTTTGTCAAGAATATTGTTGGAAACCTGTTCCTCCATCATTCATTCACTAGGTAAATATCTTTTCAGTCTTGTACTTTTGTTGTCCACTTGTTCTAAAGTTTAATAAACAAAGGAGAGAATGGACTATTTCGTGCTTTTCATGTTTCTTGATTCCCTCGTCAAAACGGTATTTGCTTGATGCCAGGCTAGTAGTAATTCCTGTACGATCCTATAAGAATCTAAAATTGCCCTGTTCTCTAATACCATTTATTGTTTGAAACCTAAATTTAACTAAATAGAACCTTCCAAAGATTCATTGTGACAGCCAACTGATCAAGAATTATGATTGCTTCTTTGGCCAGCAGAGCAGGATTTGCGTATATCCATATTATATCTTTAAGATGTTTTCTTATTTGGATGCTCTGCTTATTGGATTAGATATAAGAAAGTTTGGCATTCCATCATTCTGCTTCTTCCCAACTTTTTAACTAAGAGAGAAAGATTGTCCCTGTTTCACTTATTGTCAGGCACACTAGATGCACACTAGAAATTAAGTATCCTATTACTTATTTTTATTGAGAATGGCTAAATAGCAGTATCTTGCAAATCTGATTTTGTAATACCTCTTCCTCCTCCTTATAGTTCAGGATCAGGAAGGTCTTTTCTGAGCCGCTCCCAAACAAACCAAACAGGTTACCTGGACACTCTTGGCTTAAAAATTGTTTTAACCTTGTTGCCTTGGCAGTTGAGCCTGCACATCCCTGTCAAGGTCATATTCCTTCCTGTCTATGTAAAGGTAATCCTCGGCTTACAACAGTTCATTTAGTGACCATTCAAAGGTATGACAGCACTAAAAAAAAGCGACTTATGCCTGTTTTTCACACTTACAACCATTGCAGCGTCCTCATAGTCACGTGATTAAAATTCAGGCGCTTGGCAACTGATTCATATTTATGACAGTTGCAGTGTGATCACCTTTTGCAACCTTCTGACAAGCAAGGTCAATGGGGAAGTCATTTTCACTTTACAACTGTGGCAAGAAAGATTGTAAAATGGGCCGAAATTCACTTAACTGTGTTGCTTAGCAACAGAAATTTTGGATTCAGTTGTGATCCTAAGTCAAGAATTACCTGTGTACATAGGGAGATCAGCCCACAAAGACCAAGAGCTATTTGTCCATGACAAAGAATCTGAAGAGGTAGGGAGATACAATTTAAGGTTCTGCCTGTATAGCATTTAATACTGCAGATATAAAGAGAACATTAAACAAAAACTTCAGTGATGCAGAGGACTGTATGTATTTTTTATATTAGGATAGAGATGGATAATTTGAGAAGCCAGGGCTTCATGCAGCCTACAAAAGGCTTGGGTACGGTCCCCAAGAGATTTTAAAAGCTTTACTTATTTATTATTAATCTGACAAAATGAGAATTATTGAGAGCAGACAAAGACAATAAATTACATGAGTAAAATTAAAGGTTCTCCTGCACATGTGTTGTTAGTCATTTCCAGCCCTAGGGGGCTGTGCTTATCTTGTTTCTAAGCTGAAGAGCCAGCGCAGTCCGAAGACGTCTCTGTGGTCATGTGGCTGGCATGACTAAATGTCAAAGGTACATGGAATGCTGTTACCTTCCCACCAAGTAGTCCCTATTTTTCTACTTGCATTTTTAATGTGTTTTCGAACTGCTAGGTTGGCAGAAATTGGGACAAGTAACGGGAGCTCACTCCGTTACGCAGCACTAGGGATTCTAGCCACCAAACTGCCAACCTTTCTGATCGACAAGCTCAGCTTCTTAGCCGCTGAGTCACCTTAAATGTCCCTTTAAATACATTTAATACATTAAATTGTATTACCTGTGAATTATAAATTAAGTCAAATTCAGTTTTTGTCTTAGGTGCCACCAATTTCTCTTTGATTGATACTTTCCAAACCATTATGAAAACACACAGAATGATCCAGACCAGAGAGATCTTTAAACCAGAAAGATAATCTATATTACAATTAACTTTAGGTGGATAATGTATAAACCAGTCACTGGTAATCATCTAGACATGCAACTGTTACTTACTGTTACAAGTTCATTTCCAACACAAATCAATTTATTGGTTCAAAAAGCACTGTTAGTTTGAAGAATAATTTAACAATATTACTTACCAATAATATAATCCATTTATAAATCCATGCTAGGACTCGATTAAGAGAAAGTAAAAATTGAGATACTGCCTACCACTGTCAAAGTTGTATAAATTCTTCATATTAGTATTTATGGCACAAAACTATATTTGTATATGCCTAATTTATATTCACCGTTCTATTCTCCATTAGAGAATAAAAGTTACACTTCCATAAGAACTGAAGCTTTATCGGTAATAGAGGTGCTGCTCACCAAACTTGAAGGTAAGAATTACAGTTCTGAAAATTAAGACTATTCCTTAAATTCAAGGGCGGAATGGACAGGATTATATCCCATTTTGTTTTAAAGAACAGATTTGGCCAACTCGATTCCTGTTTTGTAACTTAAGATGCACATTAGTTGCTCAACATAGTCATGCTTGTTTTTATTTTCTTTTGCAACTAAATCTTTTAAAACATTTAATATTCTGAAAAGAATACATTTTGCATATTTGAGATAATGCCATGTCAGAAAATTTAATTAATAGGAAAATTTCAATTGGGAAGGAACACAGCATTGTACTTTGAAAAAAAAATACAGGATATACACATTTTTTCATTACTCTTGTTTGTATCTGGAAAACTACAAATACATTGGCAATCAGAAACAAAACATAAACATTCCTTTGAAAGACGGTAGACTTTCTAATCTTTGCCACCTGGCAAAATTGCTTTAGTTTGCCCACTGCTCTAAGATCTAGATGAACTTTTTAAAATAGCAATTATTTCAAGAATCGATCATTAAAGTACTGCTTTGCATAGTACCAAAAGTGATCAAAATCTGTGAACTGTTATAAATGATTCTAATTCTAGTCTGGAACGGGATCCTCTGGTCTTTAATTTGCTTTGGGCTCAGTGAGGCATGCTGTCCTAACCTTTAGATGGGGGCTTGGGCATAACCCAGGTTATAGTGTTGCCTGCTTTTGAGGCTACGGTTGAAAAGTAGAGATATATGCAAAATGGAAAATAAGATTTTTTTCTTGAAACAAAAATCCATCGTGTTTCAGAAGTTCTAGTCAAACTATTTTGTATTAAGTGCAATTTGGCAGAAACAAGTTCCAGAACATTTGGGTCAAACTGAAATTTGGAGGGTTCCAGCATCATTTTCCAGTATACTTCACGACCTCCTCTCTTTTCAGCCAGTATTTCCCCTGGGAAACTTCCAGGATCTTTCTGCTACTGCTGCTGCTTCTGCCACCAATGTCTACACATGTTTTTGCCAGTTTTGGCTTTTTGTCTCTCTTATCTGTGCTGCAAGCCACTTCTGCTTGGATCTATGTGTTTCAGTCTGTATGCAAAATATAGGCAGCCATTTTGTCCCATACATGATCCAAAATATCTGAAACATGTATATTTCAATTCAATATAGAGCAGCCAAAACCATCTGACGTGGGTGAATCAGGCTGCGTACAAAATAGCAACAGCACTTAGACTTATATACTGCTTCATAGTGCTTTACAGCCCTCTCTAAGTGGTTTATAGAGATAGCATATTGCCCCCAACAATCTGGGTCCTCATTTTAGCCGTCTCGGAAGGATGGAAGGCTGAGTGACCCTTAAGCGGGTCAGGATCAAACTCCATGGCTGTGGGCGGAATTAGCCTGCAATATTGCATTCTAACCACTGTGCCACCACGGCTCTTATAAATGTTTGATACATCTCTATTCAAATGCTGTATGAGACTCAAGTCACCTAAAGAGATAATGGTATTGATTCATTGAGAAAAAGAAGAGTAAATTTAAAAAAAAAAAATATTTGTGCCTCAACATTCTTCCAACACTTTAGTTCACATGGACTTTTATGCCTATATTTAGGAAAAGAACATGATTCTTATGATTTAATTATTGAATGTATTATAGTTTAATATAAGTGTCTTTGAATGTATGTTTTAATGTAAGTTTGTTTTCCATTAGATCCTTTACATCCAAAACTTTGATTCCATGTACTCTTATAACAAAAGTTTTTAATTATTGTAGTTTTTACTTCAATTTATAACTTTATAAAATGGCTGAAGCTGTCCTACAACAAAGATATGAAGGGTTATAGAACATAAAAAATATGCTACTTTTTTCATCATTATTAGGCAGAGTGATGTTGCATTATTCAGAGAGGATCTCTCATCAGTTGAAATTTGATGCTGGGGAGATTAACTGTCTTTTTAACACTATCAAATAATATTAGCATGTTAATGATTAAAATTATATTTTTTAATTATCAGAACCCATTTTAAGAGTTAATTTTATCTGAAAATGCAAGTAGAAAGGTTAACGATTATCCTTCTTTTTTCCCTTTTCTTGTGTAGAATCCAAACAGTGGGAAAGCCTGAACATTGAAAGTAGAGGAGTCCTCATTGGCTCTTTAACAGCACTGACTTTGGACAGTAGGCCTGAACTACAAGAAAAAGCATCTTTATTAAAGAAAACTTTAGAAAATCTTGATTGAATTGAATACCAATCAAGTGCCACGTGAAACAAAGCAAGCAAAAAAAAAAAAAGTGCAATGAGCTCCATATTACATAGAGGAAAAGTAAAGATGATTTTTGTAGCATGCATAAATTCCCTGGCTGAAATAAAGAACACCTTGATTCTCTTCCCCATTATTTCCTTTTTTTTTTCTCTTAAAAGCAACAGTAACAACCTATGAAGCAGTTTATTTAAAATGCAAGCCTTGAAAGTGAAAAATATCCAAGCTACATAAGGACATTTTGGGAAATTGTTCATTTGTGAAAGAGAATCTTGTTTTGTGACTTAAGATTTGGGGAATCTTTAGTTTATACAAAAATGGCCCTTATTATATAAATCTAATGAATGAAAATCATAGCAAAACACCAGAGAGCAAACTTTTTGTGGATTTCATGTGGGCCAACTTCCGGTATTATGTTATGATGGCAGTATTATAATTTGTATCATTACTAATGATAGTACAAAAGAGCAAAGTTGCCAGAAATATTAGAGGGCAGCAAAGAGTAGGAGTTTTGTATTTCTTTTTTTTTTTTTTTGCAACTAGTGAGTACCATGGATTTTTTAGCCCAAGCTTCATAGCCCTACCAATAACTTAAAAGCATGGAGGTCCAACCTTTTTTGAAATTGAAATTGTCTTGGGCCACATATAAAATATAACAGTTAATGTATATAAATAACAAACTTCCTTTGAGAGTTTAAGATCTCGTGAGGCTGAATGCTGTGCAAGGCTGCATATGGTCCATGGGCCGTGGGTTGGACAGGCCTCCCTTAAAGGGACTTAGTTTGCCTCTTATTTTGGAATGCCACTAGTCAGTGTTGGTTGCTTTGGACCATAACTATCACTTCATCTCATATAAACAGAATGTATAGGATTTAGAAAAAAAAACTATGCCTTTCTGCATTAAAACATGTGATTTCTCCTGGATAAAAATGCACACAAGAAAGCACTTTAATTGTCTGGATATAAGGGTGAATAGAGCAGTTAGGTTTGTAAGACCTTACATAAAGATTTTTTTTTTAATCTACATTTTCCAAGCAAGAATTCGTACTTGAATTAACCCTCTCACAACAATAACCACTTACTTATTTTGGAAAATATTCTTAAATAAAATAAGATTGTGCTGCTAAAACATTAGCCTCAGCCCCAGCCATTTGCATCTTCTTTCTAGAAAGTTCTTTTGATTTTCACTATAAGCTTTGACACTGCATACATCAGAGTATAAATGTTCTATCAAATCTGTTCTTGCAATTGTCTAAAGAACAGCATCTGCTCTGATTTTAATTAAGATTTCTTAGTGAAATTGTTAATTTGGATAACATCACAGTCAGTTTTCTGCTAGGTTTGTAGAGTTATATTAAACAGATAAGCGGAAGTATTAAGAATCAATATATTACTTGTGATAGATTTTTTTCATGCTAAGTAAATTGTGGTCTTTGAAGACCTTTAGGTAGGACATCTTGCTTGCTTTATGGAAATTCTTACATATTATGTAGGAATTTTGGAACCTACAAAACTGACCTTGAAAGTAAACTACTGTATATACTTGGGGTCTACTCCTGTAGTATTTGTGAGATTGGACCGGACCATCAGTGAGTTTTGAAGCCACCCAGGACCCTTCAGATGAGTTAGTTTATTAACCAATATCATTTTGGGACTTTTAAAAAAATTCTCAAATTTTTATCTATATACATCATGATTGTTGCATTAGCAATTATCGTACAGATGTAAGAGCTGACATAATCTCTGCAACTTCATAATTGTCTTAGATTTGTATCCTAATACCCCATATCCGAGCTTGGAATGATTTTTCCAGTAAAAAAATCAGAAATCCTTAACTTTTGGGAGGGAGTGCTTTCGTGCTGTATGATTGTACTATAAATGCGAAAGAACAAAGTGTAGATCCTGAGTAGAATTAGAGAAACCTTGATTCTAAGACATAAAGTCCTCTTAGTCCCCAATAAGTTTGCTTTCTCTGGAGTTGGAAATAAGAAATGCTGCCGAGTCCATTTTTCTTCTTTGCCAGCTTTGGTTAAGAATCTAGGTTTCAGGAAAAGGAATCTGAAGATTGTTTGTTGCATGCTGTTGCCCAGGTATTCAAAAGCATAAATAACTCTCTTATCATTTTCATGTTACCTCAAGAAGGATGGTGGGATCCCGTTCTTGGTGTCCCATCATGCTTTTAGAGCTGCTAGGATATGTTAAGAATTTGAAATAAGCCAAAAAAAAATTTTTGTCATTGGGCTGCCTTTAAAAAAAATGACCTCCTCTTAATATCTGTAATTTAAAAATGGTAAGGTATGATAAACTGACTTAAAAGAATTTGACATCATAGAAGACAGCTTTCTATTGAGTTTGCCAGGCAGAACCACAACACTGAATGTAGATATAAGATCTTTGTGATTCTGTCATCTAGCAGCAACAGCAGCATTATTATTATTTTTTGGTACTAAGCAGGATTGTCAAATGTTGCCTTTTTTTCCTTGAGTGTTCTGTAGAAGCCATGACAATTGTCAAAGTGCTAAGTCTCTCTAGACTTTTGAAGCAAGAACTTCAATATTGAGAAATCTAAAGTCTAAGTTTGCAGCAGCTGCTGTGCCAGATGTTTCCAAGTAGAAATGTTTTACTTATGCTGAAGACCTGGGGGTGGAAATTTAGCTAAAGTGTAATTTTAAAGAGTTTGGGATTCCCCCCCCCCCTTTATTAACAAAAAAAAAACGTGCCTCTGCGAGAAACCAACTTACAATATTTTATTTAGAGGTTAGATACTTGTCCCTTGTTAAATTTGTAAACTTGAGAGGGAAAAAGTGGCCTTTGGAGTTTCCTCTGAAAACAATTGCACTATAAAACACCGTTGCCCAGATATGGGCATCTGTGCTGTTATATAATGCTGCTTTGTATACCTGGATTAAAGTGTGAAAATTTGACACTATAATACCCCTGCTGACTTGACAAAACTATTTTATGTTGAAAGATTTCTAATGTTGCAAGATCTCCCATTAAATTCAGTGCATTGAATTTTTGTATCTGGATGTTGCGTATGTACATGAATTGACTAACAACTTTTTTCCTGCATAAGGAGAAACATTAAATAAATAAAGGAACATGAGCATTTTTGGAATAATTGGTAATTCTGTTGCTGGAAGTGTCTACAGAGTGGGTTATCTCTGTTTTGCTGAATAGTTCGTCTTACATTGGGCTTCCATTTTGAGGATTATGTAATGTCTCTTCATGGTCTTTACAGCCCAGTTCCTGCCAGTCCAATTAGCCTGTGATTTCTTTCTTGTGAATGCCAAAAGGCTGTATTCTTGCTTGCATTTAAAATGTTTTTAATTCCATATAGGTAGTTCATGAGAATGGTTGATTTTGGAATCATAGGATTGGAAGGGGCCTGGTCGAATTCCCTGACCTAGGCAGGAGTCCTTATGCCATTCTGGACAATTGGTAGTCCAATTTTTTCTTTAAAATTTCTACTTGATGGACCACCCACGATTCATGGAGGCAAGCTGTTCCATTAATTGTTCTGTCAGGAAATTCCTCCTTAGTTCCAGATTGGATCTCTCTGACAAACTTCCAGCCACTGCTTCTTGCCTTACCTCAAGTAGGAGTTGAAAATGATTTGATTCCATGTTGAAGAGTCAATCCAAAAACTCAACACCTTTGAGAAGTCCATAATGCTGGAAAATTTATTTCTGAAAGTTGCCCCAATGCAAATTAATATTACCATTGGGTGTAAAGAATTGGCTTTATATATTTTTTAAGTTGTTGTTTCGCACTCTAAAGAGTTATCTGTAATAACTTTTTAAAAGAAGCTGATGGGTTTGTCTCCATCCTCTCAAGGGAGGACCAGGGCAAGGCAGACAATGTAAAACTGAAACAATAATTTTATCCTTGAAACTTTTAATTAACTATTAATATAGTGGCTGCTATGAACAGAATTAGAGCTCGGTTTAATTCACCTAATAAAAGATTAAATGCATCATTACTCCAGGAAAATGTATCAGAATCCATAAATTCCTTAACACTCCCCCCATTATAGTCTAAAAACAATGTGCTGAACATGCCAACCAGTTTTAAACCAGCATGTTACACATATTTAAACCATGTATGTGTGTGTGTGTATGTATGTATATGTATATGTATGGTATTCAGCTTTGTTCGGGTATTTTCCCACATCATTATAGTTGTGTTTTTAAAGCTGTAGCAACGTTTTGGCAGAATCTCATCTGCCATCATCAGGCTTCTGTTAGTCTGTGAGTCAGACTTTCACAGCCGTTTCTGTTTTAAATTTGGGGCTAGCCTACTGCTGTGCCAGAATGGTTTTTTCTTCATCCTGATTGGTTGGGAGTCTTGGTCCCATAAACCAATAGACCAATAAACACAGACCAAGAATCACAAACAATCAGGATGAAGAAAAAAACGTTCTAACACAGCATGAGGCTAGCACCAAATTTAAAACAGAAATGGCTGTGAAAGCCTGACACACAGACGAACACAATACATGAGCCTGATGATGGCAGATGAGATTCTGCCGAAACATTGCTACAACTTTAAAAGCACAACTATGATGACGTGGGAAAATATCCGAACAAAGCTGAATACCATATGTGCGTGTGTGTGTGTGTGTATGTGTATATATACAGCACATGTATGTAAGTATGTATACATATATAGATACACACACACACACACACACACAGAGTTTAGTATCTAATTTTTGATTGAATAAACTTTAACACGAGTTATGCATATAAACTCAGCCAATATGAAATGTAGTATTTGCTACATTAGCCAAAGGTGATAAACTGTACCACCATTTAATACCAATTCCTGATAAATCATTAAGGCTACATAAAATTGAAGTTTTTTTTCTTCTTCAAAAGAGCGAGTCAAAGGAAAAGGTGGCTTGTTTTACAGGCACTGCCCACTCAAACTGTCCATATAAAGCTTAATATATGAGCAATTAAACATTTTAAGTCGAAATTGGGTATCTCCTGTTTTCTATTGGTGAGTTTGAGAGTGGATCAGACCCCCACCCCGGCACACAAAATGGCTGTGAGGATAATGACAGTCTGACATGAAACATGTTTCAAATGGAGTTGCAGCTCCTCAATCTCTTCCCAGCATGCAATGCACTTCTGCCTCACAACATTTATTCATTCGTACGGGCAAATATTACAGTTAAAGCAGCCTTCCCTTCTTCTTCAGCCATTTCCTGCTTTCCGAAAGGACCACTTTTATAATAGTTTGGGCCCTCCAGCTCTGAGACAATAACTAAAATGGCTTCAGGTAAGCCATTAAACCAGCTCGCTCATGCAGCAGTCCGAATTAAGTTCCTCTAGTAAATAAAGCTAAGGAAACCCAACAGCAAATAAAGGCAGTATTTGAGAGGCTTTATTACTAATACAAATATATGACAGATTTTGCTGCTATACAAAATCACACATTTAAATTTAAAATGAGCACAGAGCTCCAAGTCAGACAATTTTTACATGTTAGTACACGATTTTACAGTCTTCTGATTATGTACTATTTATTTTTATATGGTTGTGCACTCCTGGCTAGTAAGTAGTTTACTTAATGGAAACAGGTACATTTTATGGGTCTGATTTTCTTAAGCTTTTTTGTAATGAGAAAAAAAAAATAGAAGAGATATTTACAAGTCTGTAAAATATTTCTGATCTAAACTAAGAAAAATACCTGCACTTACGAATTAACCCTTCCATACCTCAAGCTTGTGAGTGCAGAGAATTTTGGTGCTCTATAGAGATAATATATAGATATTGCTACGTTAACGAAGAGGCATTTCTATATTTTAATTGCATCCCATTTTCTCTTTAAAAATGTAGACGAACCACCAAGCTGCAAATATTTTTCAAACATCCATTAGTATTTTCGGTCTCTTTTCTTTCTTGTTTAACTTATCGGCTCTTTGTTGTGGAGCCCCATTATTTCCATTCTGAGCCTGTGTATATCGTGCCACAGTAGAAACACCATCCAAAAATTTGGTCTTGTACAACACATTTGCATTGTTGAACATACCATCCTTCAATGAAACTACAATAAACTAGAAGAAAGAACAGAAAAATCATGTTAAACTATTAAACTAGGCTTTCAGGTGAACCTAGCATTTTCTAACTAAATTTAAAGCAGATTTTAAAAAGTTAAAAATAACCATGTTATCAAAACGTTAATGAACAAATTTTATCCAGGCTGGGTATCATAGCATGTGAGAACAAGAAACATATATTTAAAATATTTGTGTTTATACTTACAGAGTTTGAAACACTCTTTAAAATGTTACCTTTTTGAGCCTCTGATTTTAAAAAAAGGGTTTTGAAATACAGTAGTTCACAACTCTGGAAGTATCCTAGGACTATGCAACAGGAGAGTTAGCTATCTTGGGCGGGGGAAGTCTCTTTAAAAAATATGTTGAGTTTTTTTATTTGGGATATTAGAAACAAAAATTTCAACTCTCCTGAAGTAAAACAGCCAGACTATAGGATGATAGTGAGAGAAAGTTACCTATACCTCTATGTACATTGTTAAAAAATGCATTAAAAAAGCAGAGTCAACAAAGTGTAACTTTATAGATGGTCCTCGCTTAATAATTTGTTCAGCAACTGAACTTGTGATGACAATAAGTGGTATTTACAAGGTTCTGACCATTGCAATGCCCTCGCCCCCACCCCCAGCTTTCAAGTGATTGAGATCCAGATGCTCAGCAATTGGCAGATTTACAAGTCACACTTTTCCAGTCTTGTGATCACAATTTGCAAGCTTCCCTGCTGACTTTCCAATAAACAGAGACATTGTGGGAGCTGGCAAGAATTTAGAAATTATGATCACCTGGGGTCCTCACTTACCCCTGATGTCCTTGCTTAATGGTAGTTAGAACTGTTTCAAATTAAGCACAGTTCCCAGTGATTCCATGGACATATCCATGTAATCTTTACAACAATATGAAACTGGTTTGCTATTTCAGCACTTTTTTGACTCTGCAGCCTAGTCTACAAGGTTCGGATTTCCTGATGATCTTCCATTGAAGTTCTAATTAGATTTGACCCCATTAAACTCTGAGAAGCAAAAATACAATAAATTCAATGATCAACCAACAATATGACTTATGGCAACTAAAATGCAAATTATGTCTTTACACAAAATGGGATTCATTTTATTTGCTTTCGCCCATATATAAAGTGGCAGACCACCAGAGGCTGAGAATAGAAAAAAAGGCATTTGCTTTGTGTGAATGACAACCTAGGAGAATGAGGGATTCAATTCTCAAGCAAAGACGTATGAGCCGTTTGCCTGTAAAGCAGAGAAAATTAATTCAGGAACAGATTTTCCCTATGGTAAATAGAGAAAGGAACAGTTTCAAAACTTAGCGCAGAAGATGCTTTTGGTAAATTATTACCTGAGAGTGTCTGAAATGGGTCCGAAGCATCTGCCCAATATTCTGAGTATGTGAAAGATCAAGGGCCGCATCCACTTCATCCAAGATATAAATGGGAGCAGGTTTGAAGAGAAGCATGGCCAAAATTAAGGACAAAGCTACAAGGGATCTAATTTTTTTTAAAAAAAAGAACCGTACAAAAAAAAAACCCATCAGAATGTTAACATAAAAGAAAATGCCTTGCTTTTTTTTTTAATCAGCATAATTTCTTGAAACAAAATTCTTGTAACAATTTTAAGAATAATTCTTTTTTCATTATATCTATCAAGCTGGGTTCTTGATAAGACTCTAATTTTTAAATTTCTCCTCTGAACTTTTTCTCCCTTCCCTCTTTGTATGCAGAATAAATTTTATTTCATTCTTAGTCTGAGTGTACAGTTTAATCCTGGTGACATTAGCAGTTTCTTTTCACTGTAACATAAAAGGTGTAGGAAACATGCCCAGAAAGTTACAGTGTATGAGGCACAGATTGAAGCTGGAATTCATGTTGCAAATAAATGTATATTCTTCCAGGAATAAATATTAGATTTAAAATATCTATCAAAACAGCATGTATCCACAGTGTAGCTAAAGACAGAAAATGTTCCATTTTATTTCTTTTAGTTCATTTACATGTCCTTCAATCCTGAAGACCTTTAACCAATAATATATTATGGTTCAGGTACCCAGTATCTGTTTGGAAGTAATCCTCCTCCAAACACTTTCGTTCTTTCTTTTGATTTATGCATTTTATATTTGTTGCGCTCAAATTACCCATGATCTTTGCACGCTTTTGGAGAAATACTGGAAAAATTAAAAAGAAAACTTCAAGCCAAAATTGTCTTATTTTGTTAGCTCTTCAAAAAAAAAAGTACTCACCTTTGTCCTCCACTTAATTCAGTTAAATTCTCCTTCCAAGTGTTCCCCAGGGCAACTTTAAACTCCAAACCATCAAGGACTGTCTGCCCTTCAGGAGGTGACAGCATAGCATTGGCTCCTGGCAGAAGGGTGGAGAAAATGGATCCAAAGTCTTCATTTACCTAGAAAATTTAACATTCGTGTCATCAGAGAAATTAATTTGCATCCAATGAATATCATGGAATCTGCTGATTCAAAATTTTAGACCATTTTAGCTTACCAATATTATATGAATTGATTCTTGCTTCTCAAATATCCCTGGGCCTAAATATGCTCCAGGGAGTTCTTAAATTATTCCTCAAATTTGATTTATGTGTGTTTAAGAGGAGTTGAATCCACTAGCAGAGATGTTCAATTTGAGATCATGTGAATGATCCCTGCAGCCTTTCTAAAAATGGTGATGTCCCCTTATTAAATACTTGGAGAATAATTATTTTAACTGTACCTAGTTTTAACTAAAATGAAATCAAGTCTAAGTTTGGTCTTGTTCTCTCCAACTTTTTGGAATGCAATCCCAGGACACCAGCCACTTTGTATTCCTGCATTAGCAAGCATCATGTAATACAATTAAGAAAGTCAGTAGATGATGATCCTTTGTTCACACAATTTTGTTTTACTGGACCTATGGACATGGTAGGTGGGATGATAATTATCAGAGTGGTACATCCTAATTAATTCCTTAAAGGATGAAATAAGGTATGATCTTGAGTGTTGTAAAATCTTTGGATCGGAAGCATAGAGACTTACTTTTTTCCATGCAATATTTAAAGCTTCATTTTTCTTTTGGTCAAGCTCCACAATTGTTGCAAGAATTTTAGATTTATCATTCTCAACAATTCTCTTCTTCTTCATCAGGTCATTGTACTGTAGAAGAAAAGAGAATCAGGATTAGGCACAAAATAGACAAGCTAATGACGTGCAAGGAACTGTTTTTTGACTAATCTAGGAAACGATCTGTCAATCTTTCTTGATATCACTGTTACCTATTAGAGAAAAACACTCTTTGTAAATGCCTATCAAGCTACCATTGATTGACCATTTGACATGAAATAAATTGTCATGTAATTAATCAATTTCATGTAATTCCATTAG